CTAGCTTGGCTCACATGGAACCGGACATTCAGAGATCATGTTTTCCACCAACAGACCCTCGCAGTTCAAGCACTGTGTGTCTGTGTCACATGGCAGTGCTCACTTGGAAGTGAGCACTCCTGCAATTAAGTGTTGCTGTGCTGCTGATCCAGGAGGAGATCTTGTCCTCCAAGTCCCCCACCCCCACCCTAGGAGGATCTGAAAAGGAAAAAGGATAAAATCTGCAAGCCCCCTCCCCGCACCGACTGCACAATCTTTAAGTCTTAGAAAGACGACTCAAGATTCCATTTAGAAAGAAACCAGGAATGGGTGTAGCGGCCTGTTTCTGTGAGAACCAAAGGGCAGCTGGTTACTGATTATTCATCCCAGTTCTGACCTTAGGGTTTGGGATCTGGTATGTGTGTATATGAAGATGTGCCGCTTAGCACCCACCCCATAAGGCCAGCAAGTGAGGGTGGGAGTGAGGGCTCCACATAAATCTTCCATGGTTTACTGCTAACATTTTAATCCAAGGAGGTCATAGGCTTCGGTCTACATGATAAATCTCAACTATGCTGTAACCTTGACCAGGCAAGTTACTTAACCTCCCTGAGCCTCAGATTCCATAGCTGCTTAATGAAGGTAGCACCTACTTCCCAAGACTATTGGGGGGATTTTAGAGCTCACTTCCTTTGAGACACCTAGTACAATGGCAAACACATTCATTCCCCAGTAAGTGATAGCTCACATTAATGGGAATAAAAATAGCCTTCAAAAGACAAAGGTGTCAAGAAGGAGAAAAATATTCCACTAGAACTACGTTTTGAAGAGATACAGTCAAACAGTTTGGCCATACAGATGCAGGGAGCAGGGAGGGGGGTGCTGTTGGTAGAGACTCAGGCATTGATTTTCTCAAAACAACCCTCATTTATACCTGGTGTCTCAGCACCATTATCAGTAGCATTCTTTTTGTTCTTAAACGTGCCCTGGTTTGAACAATAAATTTCAAAGTCACTTTGATTATGTTTTAAGTCTCAGGTATGTTTTTAGCAGCTGCCACCCCATTTTCTCTGCCTGTGGCATTAATGCTGCAGAAGTTCAGCTATTCACAACCATGATGGCTACCTCTTACTGAATGCCAAGCTTGACCTTATTACATGTAAACCTCATAATCAGTGTCATAAAGATTTTATTCTTATCTCCAGTTTACAGATATGGCTTGGAGAGATTGAGTAACTTGTCAGAGAGGCCAGATTTCACCATGTATGGAATGTGAAGATAGCCCCAATTTACTACATTTCAGGGCCAGACCTAATAGCTGCCCTCTCTGTGTGTCCCCTTCATTCTATGGTAGGGAAAAGCAGATGGTGATTCTTCAAGACTGAGGAGAGGCACTCTGCACATTTTCCTTAGCAATGAAACTAATCACCCATGAGTCCCAGGGCCTGGACCACAAACCCCTCTGGGCAGCCCAAAAGTTCCAGGACTGTTGGTGCTCAGGCTGGTGGCTAATAGAAACTTTGTCTCCATGTCATGGCATGAGGAATCCATACAGGCCTTGGCCTGAGCCAGGGCATGAAGTCAGTCCCAAACTGTTGTGTTTTCATGGCAACGTTTTTCTTCAAATGTTGTTTCAGGTGCTAATCCTTGTGAAAACAGCAGCAACGCAGGAAGGTCAAGTCCTCTTTCCCCGATTTTTCTTGGTGTCATTTAGATTATACCAACTATCATTCTGTGGATTCTAATAGTACTTTGGCTCACAGTAGGCATTTCTTGCATACATATGTGTACATATCAGTCAGTCTACACATAAACTTGTGTCTGTGTGATCATAATAACAGCTAACATTTATTGAGCACTTACTCTGTGTCAAGCACTGTTCTAAACACTTTGAGCGTAATTTACTCAGCTACTGAGTGGTGGAACAGGACAGGACTCAGATCCAGGCTGGGAAATGCTTCTCCTCTCTGGTGCTTCTTGCTCTCCTCTATCTCCTCGCCTTTGTGGTGGGTAGCTCACATTTTATTGTCTACCTGCTTCCCAGGGACTGGAAGCTCCCTGAGTAGGCATTAGGTAGGACTCTGGGGCCCTTTTGGGGAATGGGACTATGTTTCCCTCCTGTTAGCTCAGATTGCATGCCTTCCAAGTTACTCTCTCGCCTTGCTCTTGTTTTCCTTTATCACCCAGGATCACAATCAGCACTTGGACATTTCCTGCACATCTTTATTCTAGTGCAATTCAGGTGCTTTTCAAGCATGTGGCTTAACTCTCCACTTAGACTGTAAGCTCTCCTCCCTCTCTCCCCATCTTCCTCCCAAGAGGACCCCTGTTAGTCTGTGCAACACCTTTGAATTATTTTTAAAAAGCCTCCCACTTTGGCAGGATAAATTCTGCAAAAGGTGGCCCTTCAGTAGAGCCGGGGCTGGATCCCAGGTCCTCCTGCCACCTTCCTTCCCCACTATCTACACACACACACACACACACACACACACACACACACACGATTCTCTGTGTCTAGCAGAAGGGCTAACAGAGGAGGAGTTCAATATGTATCTAGAATCTATTGGCTCTAAAATTGGGTCTATTGACATTGTTACAAAGATTTAGAAAAACTAAGGGGACTGTAAGAATAGTTTTCTCTTTCGACTGTAAATCTGATTTACTCAATTAGAAAAGTTTAAATTAAAAAAATAGGGGATCCAGTTTAAGTGGGTGACTAAATGTCCAAGGAACCAGTGTGGACTGCAGCAAGCAACTGCTTACGACAGATTTGACAAAAGCTTAAGGAAGTGGGAAAGTCTTAGGAAGCTGTGGGTTAAATACCTCACCAGCCCCGACCATTTACAAGCTGTGGCAGTTTAGGAAAATCACAAAATCTCTCTCCCAGCCCCAGATTGTGCATCTGTAAAATGGGGCTAATGGTGTTGCTGTCCCACCATTCAGAGCAGAGTGCAGTCGGTAGAGGGGGTGGTGGGTGGGGAAAGCACCCAGAGAACCTTGCTAGTAAGAGTTAGGGTTTAGGTTTACTGTCTCCAATATGCGTTGTACGACTGTCAGTTTGTGGATTTGAGTTTCTGAATCTGGAGGTAGCTGCAGCATTCTAGCTATCTGCATGAAAAGATAGATGGTGTAAGAACACAGGGTGTTCTAGTCCTCAATTTTGATATTTTAGGGCATGAACTGGACACTGCACATAACTGCTTTTAGTTCAGGACAAACAGCTCCTTCACCAAAGGCTTTCTAACAGAGTTGTTATGGGCTAGGGGTGGGGATGGAGACACCCTGATAACAGCAGCGTGATAGGACAGCTCTCTGAGTGAAGTGTCAGCAAATAAAACCAGTCTCATTAAGCAGCTTTAAAAATGCACCAAAGGAGGGAGTGATGGTGCAGGTGCCAGGGTGGCAGCAGATCAGAAAATTCTTTAGAGGTTGACCCCCATACTAGGAAGCCAGCAGGAGTGGGCAGAGAAGAGGGTGAGGACTTGAAATGTGGGCAAAGGCAGGTGACTCGAGTCTCATGGGACAAGTGACTCAAATTATGTTTATCGTTCCTTCACTAACTTTTCTTTTTTTTAAAGATTTATTTATTTATTTATACAGGCACTGGGTACAGTCAGAAGCGCGGGAGGGTGAGAGAATTCACCAGAGCCAGAGCGGGGAGCAGAGCAGGCAGAAGGACCGAAGCACACTGCTGAGGGGAGCAGCGGTCCACAGGAGAGGTCTGCGTGCCATGTGGGACCCTCCTCTGGTGGCCGGGGAGCAGCCGGGGGTCGAACAGGCGCTGCAGAGGCTGCGGGCAGCATTGCAACCCAGCGCTCAACTGCTGCACCACCAGGGAGGCCCTTCACTAACTTTTCAAGAGCCCTAAACACCGCCTAAGTACAAAGCACAGTGATTGGGTTCCAGCATAGGTTCAGGGGGCAAAAGGGGTAGGGAGATAAGCCTTTAAGGAGCTTATGATGCAGGTAGAGACAAAGGCATGAATACAGATAAAAATATCAAGACTTCATGTTAAAAACTCCACAGGAAGAATATGCACCCATATTCTATTATAAAGGTGACCCAACAAAGGGGCTGACAACTCAGAGGCGGGACATGGGAGTCAGACACTGTCTCCCAAGGAGGTAGGCTTTCTGGTCTCATGGCATCATTAGGATTCTGCTGGGACGGAATGGCAGAGGGCTCCTGGTGATGGTGTAGGACATGAGCTCAGTGTTTTTGAGTATTTTCACTCAAGAAGCCTTTGGTTCTAAAACACTGCTAACTTCAGGAATGCTGGGAAATTTTAAGAGTAGTTAAATATGAAGAAGTCAGTGTAAGTCCACCAGGAGCGTGTATGAGTTCACCTGTCGGGTAAAAGAAGGTGCTCAGCCTTTCATGCCATTGGCCTCCGTGGCTATCACCTGTGGCCATGATCTTGTCAATGTGTAAGGTACGAGGGTGTGGGGCATGAGCACCTGATTGTGGACACCTGGACATGGGTGTGTGCGCATGTGCAAGTGCGCCCAGCTGTGCCTAGGGGGCGGGGATAAAAAGGTGGCTTTGGGAGGACACGTGACTACAGACGAGGTAAGACCACGAGAGAACGCCAGAGAGAGCCCGGAGAAAAAGCTCAAAGATTTGCTGGTAAGCCTCCAGCGCCCCCGCCTCTCCACCCCAGCCCACCCTTCACCTCGTTGCCCCGCTAGAATGCCCTTTTGGATTAGGCCCTTCAGTGGGCTAAGAATAAAGCTACATGGTCGATTCTTGAGCACACAGCCTGGGAAGAGGTTAGCCAGAGCCAGCTGAGCTGGAGTGTGACCATCATAGGTTTTCAGGATGTAAGTATCATTTAGAAGCTCAGAGGTGGTGTCTCCGACTACTCCAGAGTTAAGAGATTGTTTCCTCCCAAAACCAATAGAAGGGGCAGGCCAGGATCACCCACAATCCCCATATAAATCTTACCAGAATAAAATAATAATCCGCCCCACCAGGCCTTTGCTAAAGAAAAAAAAAAAAAAAAAAGATGCTTTTGACTAATTACAAGTCAAGGCAGTAACGACAGTAAGTACATTTCTTTCAATCTTTCAATTATGGTTTTTTCCAACTGTTCTAGCCTCTTCATCATTGTTGACACAATACCCTGATAAAGTCACTACTTGAGCTTGTGTGTGTGTGTGTGTGTGTGTACATTTGGCAGTCACGTTGACCCAGGGAACAGCATTCTGTGAGCAAGTGATTGTTCTTCCTGAGTAATCAAGGAGGGTTCTAGAGAGAATTTGATGCAGGGATAGCATCCTCAGCAGCTCAGTATGGGGCAGTCCTGGGGAGAGAGAACAGAATGTGGGGGCCACGGAAGAGGAAGATGGGCCAAGTACTAAATCCTCTACTCAGTGCCCACCATCCTCCCTGCACATTCAGTTGTCTTATCTCTGAAATGCTCATCTCTCCCGCTTGCTATAGCTTCTCCTTGCCACCTGTGAGCTAAGGCTTTTATCAGCACGCTCCTAAAACAGAATCACATGACTGTCCCTGCCACTATTCTCTCCTTACATCTATCTATTCTTCACTGCTGACAGCTTTCCAAAATACACAGCTTACCTTATTCCTCTGCTTAGAAAATATGGAATTCACCCCTTAGTGCTAGTTGCATTATTAATAATACAGGATCCCCCATTTTGATCAAAGAAATAGCTGGGCTTACTGTTTTGCAACAAAGAAAAGATGGCTGTGTATTTGAATCTGGAGAAACGACTGTGATGACAAGTTTGAATTATTCGATAAGCCTGTGCAGGCAGCTGCTCCAGCTCTCCTTAGGCAGGTGGTGGGTGGGCTTACGGAGCAACTCACGGCGTTGACGCTTGGTCATGTTTTTTGTAGGCTGACTCGGCGGCTTATGAAAGTGGTGAAAAAGAAGACATTGCTCAGCATCATAGAATTTATTCTAGCGGGTGCCACCCAAAATATACAATATACAGGTACCACCCCCCAAAATACTTGATTACAGTTGTATGACAGAAAAGGTTAAGATTTCCAGAAAGGTCACACCAGGGTAGAGATGGTATTTAAGCCTTTGGAGAAACTGAAATTGCCAAGGGAGAGAGAAGGCAGTGTGAGAGTGATTCCAGAAACCCTCAAGAATTTAGAATTTGGGAGAAGTGATGGCCAAAAGAACCTAAGACAGAATAGTCAGAAGGCATACATACAGGAGATTACAATAGCATATCTCACCAAGGTCAATTGGAGAACGTTTCAAGAAGGAGGATACGGTTACCTGTGTTAAAGGCTGCACAGAGTTCAGGTCAGATGAAGGCAAAATTTTTATATTGGATGAAACAAGGAAACTCTTCATAACCCCTTCAAGAACAGTTTCTGCGAAGTGAAGTAAAAGGCCAGAATGGAAAGGAGATAAGAGTGGATGCTTGCAGAAGAGGAAATGCAATTGTGATTGTCAAGAACACGGTGGGAGCGTCTAGAAAAACATGGTCAAACTTCTGGGCCAAACGAAGTTGGAGAAGTTTGAGGCATGCCAGCGTGTCCCATGTGTCAGACTCTCTAGTCTTGAATAACTCAGGCACAGACATGAAGACATGGGGGCTTTGCAGGCAGGACAGTCATGAAGTCACAATTGATCTAGTACTATTTTTAGAGCCCAGTGGGAAGAACTGTGACATCTAGGTTAGATACAGAAGGAAGAAAAGATCAGAGGCGGTTCATGGATAGAGAAAGTGGAGGGACCATTGCAGATCTGGTCGGAAGGTGGTGGTGAGAATGAGATTTCAGAGGAGGTGCATCTTCTAGTAATCACGAGGTCCCAGCTATGCCCTTGGGAGGTGACACACTCCTACATCCTTTCGAGTAATTAGTTGTCGATGTACTTTAAAGTGATTCTTCCAAGGGTTTCAGAAACCATGACCTGGAAGCCGTGCCCATCACCTAGATGGGCACAGGTGGAGGGAGAGGATCACTGAGGGTGCAGCCATCGTGGAACTCTCTAGCTGGGTGTTGCTTAGAACAGTCAACAGAGACATTTATCTTAGGACGTTGGGGTGGAGAGGTGGACGTGGAGAGAGACAAAGTAAGTGGGCTGATGGTGTGAACCCTAAGAAGGTTTCAGTTTTTGAGTGAAAAAAGGAATAATGGTCCATAGGCAGCACCCATGAGCATACCAACCACAGCCTCCCACTCGGACATTGGGGAGATCTGTGATTAAAACAGACACGAAAACAGGGTTGTTATGGGTCAGCAAAAACAAAGAAGGGATAGTCAGAAAGATGATTGGGAAAGAAGAGTTTGATGGAGTCTGGGGAAGTGAGGAATGAGAGCTGGAGTCGGGGAGGGCAGGCAGAAAGCAGTTCTGGTGTGCAGGAAGGCTTGGTGACATCTGTGGTGATGTTGGGGTTACTTAATAGACTCAAATGAATTCAACCACTGTTGACTTGGATACTTTTTTGTAGAGAGATCAAGACCTCCTAGATGTGATGGGCACGGCTTCCAGGTCGTGGTTTCTGAAACCTTTGGAAGAATCACTTTAAAGTACATCAACAACTAATTACTCGAAAGGATGTAGGAGTGTGTCACCCACTTTACAAGAATAACATGCAGTCAGTCAGACATCTGAGTAGTTAAATTTGGTATATAAAGTCCCATTTCATCTACCTTTCCTGTCTCATCTCTGGCCACTTGTCCTACACCTTACCCAGCTTTCCTGCCCAAACTCGTCTTGACCTCCCAAGCATACCACCCCACTGAGGCCCTCTAAGGTATTCTGTGCGCCCCTGGGTGGGGGGGCATTGGGGGGGCAGGTTATCTGGTGTTACGGTTTACACTTTATCACACACTGCCCTTTAAGTCAGCAGAGTACTTTCATTGCCTCGGGGATGCAGAATGCAGAGGGAACAAATAATCTCCTGGCCTTTGAGTTTTCAAAATCCATGCCCTGTGGAGGTAGGTGACTTTGGGAACAGGAATGCAAGGAAGTAAAGCTTCTTATTTCCTGCTGCCATGGTGATATGCAATCTTAGGCTGAAGGAAGTAGGGGCGACAGAATAGGGGAACCTGAGGCAGGAGACAGTTTGGCTGCATCTCAGAACAGCCTCTGGTATCTTGCTTTCCCTCAGGGCTCCCTGCAGGAAGCAGGCTCTGGGCTACCTTGTTGTTATCCCGGAGTCCTACTGAAGTTGCTGTCTTTAATCCACGCAGCCTGCTAACTTGTCTCCTTTTGGCTTAGTTGCGCTTCATTTATTTTTTATTGAGATAAACATTGTTTACAACTCTGTATGATTTGGAGGTATAGGCTCACATCCTTTCAGACATGTTACCACACCACAGCCACCAAGAACCCAAAATCCTTTACCATAGACCACTGGGCCCCTTCATCCCTTTATTCTGCACCCCAACCCTTCCCCAAGACAGCCCTTCCCCCAAACTGCAGCCATTGGCGTCAGAGCTTCCCAGTGTCCTATTTGAATTAGTGGACTCTTCAAACAGCTGGCCTGTCAGACCGATAAAAGAAACCCAACACCAGCACGAAAAAGTTGTTGCACACTGACTGGCTCCCTGGCTCTTGATTGTTTAAGTTTCCTGGAGGAGGGAAGGCAGCTAGTACAAATGAAGGAGCAGGTCCCCCATCTCCTCCCAGTGCCTGCCCCAGTGGAGCCCAGCCCAGAACACCTATGACACTGTTCTCCGCTGCCCCACTGAGTAGTGTCCCGTTGTGTAGATAAACCATTCATCTGTCCTTGGCACTTAGATTGTTTCTAAGTTTAGCGGTTGTAAGTTTAGTTACAGTTTAGTGCTGTAATGAACAGTGCATCTAGCCCTTCAAATGGGTGTCTTTGCATTCCTTGGATAAATTACCCAGGAGTTGCATTACAGAATCATGTGGTGGGTTTATTTTTAATATTTGGAAGAGCCTCTGTACCGTTTTCTATAGGACCTAGATCAATTCCTACCAACAGTGGAGGGTTCCTTTTCCTCTACATCCTCATCAACACTGGTTTCGGGTTTTTTGAATGTGGGTCATGTTCAGGGGTGTGAGGTGGTATCTCACTATGGTTTTGATTTGCGTTTCCCTGATGATTCGTGCTGGTGAGCGGTTTTTCCTGTGTCTTTTGGCTATTTGTATATCTTCTTTGGAGACATGCCTATTTAATTCTTCAGCTCATTTTGATTAGGTTATTGCTGTTGAAGTGTATGAGGTCTTTGTCAGTCTTAGATAATAGCTTGTTGGATATATGATGAGCAAATATTTTCTCCCATTTGGTCAGCTACCTTTTCATTTTAGTGAAAGTTTCTTTTGATGTGCAGAAGCTTTTTAGTTTCATGTAGTCCCATTTATGTTTGCTTTCGTTTCCCTCGCTTTGGGGATCCTCAAAGACATCACTGAAGCCTATGTCATGGAGTGTTTTGCCTGTGTTTTCTTCTGTGTATTTTATGGGTTCCAGTTTTCCATCCCCAGTCTTTCATCCATTTTGATTTATGTTTGCATATGGTGTGAGAGAGTGATCTAGTTTCATTCTTTTGCATGTGGCTATCCAGTTTTCCCGGTACCCTTTGTGGAAGAGACTCTGCTTTCTCCAGTGTATACTGTGGCTCCTTTGTGGCTTATGTTGTGCTTTAAATTTATTTTCACTGGATAACTTAAATTTTGAAAAACTCAGATTTCTGGTCTCTTGTGAGAAAAGCTCAGAAGCTGTGGCCATACCAGATTCACTCACATTGTTTTGGGGCAGCAATCAGCCATCCCTTTTGATGAAGCAGGTGCTCTCCTTTATTTTACTCTGTTGGTTACCTGCCTGACTTTTCTAGTTCTTCAAGCATTAGATCTCTGATGCCAGTGAGCCAAGTGCGAGGCTACAGTGTAGCAAATGTGACCCTTCTAGTTATAAATCTAGTTTTAGCCTCAGAGACAAAACCTAGTTTCCCGAGTTCCCCTAGTTTCTCAGTTAACACTGAGAAAAATTGCTCACTTCCTTTGTGCAAAAGTGCAATAAGCCTCTTTTCTCCCCCCAAATCCCCAGATATACACCCCAGACTCAGCTGATGAAAAACTTAACTTTCACCTCAAAAAATAACCTCTATCCAACCTTTCTCTGCCAGCTCCAGAGAAGAACAAGGAGAGATATGTCCTTGCGCTCCCCGTGGCTGGCTGCATTATATGCATGGCACTTCTCTGTAAAAGGCATGTGCATAGACACTTATAGAGCAGGGCAGACATTGGGACCTCCTAAGGGGTGAAACTATGTACCCAAGATCTCTCAGCTGAGTTCAGAACCCAGGTCTCCTCTGTTCTAGCCAGTACTCTTTAAGATTATACTGCTTCCTCCTGCCTACAAGGCCTGGGTGGGAGGCCCTCCTATGGGGCAAAAGGAAAAACCCTTCCCTCCTCATATAGACAGAACTGGACAAGTTTCTTCCAGTTCATTCTCCAACCCGTGGTGGATAAGGGTTAGTATAAGTCTCACTAAATGGAACTTTTTAAAGCTTTTTACTTCTAAATGCATGAGTTTTGCAGATTTGTGCTACGTGTCTCCTAAAAAGATCTCATTTCTGCTCTTGTCCTTTTATAATAAGCTTTTTAATGTTGACCAGGACTGTGGAGAGAGCTGGAGGCAAAGAACTGACAAATCAGAGCCATACAGATATGTGAGGGGCTAGCGTTCACAGGGTTTCTAGACCTGCTCCTTTGTTTCAGCTGGATCATTGACTGGAAAGGCAAACATGAGCTTGATGCATTTTACTACTCTTTTCATATATGGGCTGTTGTCATAGTTACCTTTTTCAAAACACCAAATTGGAATTTTCACCCGCATTCACACTGGAAAGTAAAGAACAGGGAGAGCTGCATCCCAGAGAAAACCTCCCAAGAGCAAGACTTCTTCTGCTCCTACCCTGATACGCTTCCTGGCCTGGAGAGCAAGACAGCCTTACATTCCAGACTGTTCATTACAATGCTTCAGTCTCTACCACTCCAGGCAGGGTGAATTGTACCATCATCTTTCCCCTGGGAGTGGTTGGAAGCTTCTGGGAGCAAAATCAACCCAGCTACTCTGCTTGTGACAGTCCATCCATAGCTGGAGTGCCTGGCCTGCCACCTGGCCTGTCTTGGTTGGGGATGAGTTTACCACCCTCAAGCAGGCGGCCTTGCAATCAAGGCCGGCAGTAGAATTTGTGGGGTCCAATGCAAGATGAAAATGCAGAGTCCCTTGTTCAAAAGTGGGGAAAAAAGCCTTTTCCTTTCTTTCTAGGTCTTTCTTTCCACCCATCATGGTGCTTTATTTGCTGCTTCATGATGCATTCCACCTGGCACAGGGACACTCACAGGGCAGATGCAGACCCTCACAGGTGCCAGGAGCCCCCACCCTGAGACTCAGTCTCCTGGCTGAGCATTCAGCCCCAACCCTATTCCTGGCGAGTGCATCAGTGCTCCCTGGGGGGGATAGAGGAGCATAGGCAACTGAGAACTGTCCCCTGGAGGCAGCCATGAGGCCATCTGTTTGAGCCAAGGGTCCACATTCTTGGCACAGACCACCGTTCTATTGGACTTCTCTAACAAAACAGTTTCAGTGATAAAATTATTCAAAATTTGAGTAGGGTGACATAGAACGCTAAACCATGAGCACAGCTCCTTCTGAGCCCCAGCCCTCTGTGACTGTGGACACCATCGCCCATGCTGATCTGCCTGCTCTAATCAGAGGGAAGAGGTCTCCTTGAGTGAGGACACCAGCCCAGCAGGCAAGACCCTTCCAGGGGACTTTCCTGCTATAGTGAGTTTACCCCAGGATTTGAGCTCCTCTCTATGCTCCCCCAACACCCAGCCCCGACCCAGGGGAAAAAAGCAAATAGTACTTAGACAAATACCAGAGCAAAGCACTAGACTCACTTCTCCCTAAGTTTCTTCTAGGAAGATGGTCAAATCCTTTTATTTTATCAATAGGGTTGCATTCATTACATTAGACCCTATCTCCTTCCCACCCCGTACCTTTAAAACCACTTTATTGAGGCATAATTGACATACAATAAACCTCAGATATTTAAATTTTTTGAGTCTACATATACATACACAATTGTGACATATATATATTAATTGTTGACCTAACACCAAAATCAAGAAAACATTCCATCACTCTTTTGCAAACTATCCCTTCCTCTGCCCCATTTCCAGACAACTGCTAATCTGACTTCTGTCAGCGTTGATTAGTTTCTAGAATTTCATCAGTGTAATACCATCTATATTCTATTTTTGTCTGGCTTCTTTTCACTCAGCATATTTATTTGAGCTCCACTCATGTTGTTCATCTCAACAGTTTGCTCCTTAATATTGTTGAGTAGTATTGTGTTGTATAATGTAGTCTTGTGTGGTGTTATATTGCTCTGCATTGTATTATATACTCAATTTATCCATTCACTTGTTAGTGAGCATTTGGGTTGTTACCCTGTTTTTTAGCTATTTCAAGTAAGGCTGCCAGGAGTAGTAGCAATCAAGTGTGGAATGGCTGTGTTGTATGGTAGACATATGTTTTAATTTTTTTTTTATGGCTTTGTGTATGTTTTCTTTTTTTTCTTTTTTTTTTTAAACAATATTTGCTTCCCCTGACCCCCTCAGATTGAGTCCTGAAACTGTCAAATTAGCTTTCAAAGTACCTCTACATTCCCACCAGTATACTATGTAGGAGTTCCAGTTTAATTTGCATTTCCAGTCTTAATTAAATTAATTAATTAAGTCTTAATTTAATTTGCAGTTCCAGTCTTAATTTTCATTTCCCTAAGTACTAATGATTTTGAATTTTCAGTGAGATTCCTAGCCATTCATATATCTTCTTTTGTGAAGTGTCTAGTTAAATCTTTTCCCTGTTTTTGAAAATTGGTTGGACTTATTGTCTATTAAAGGCTTTTCCAAAATGTATTTTGAAGTCAGTTTTTGTCTGATATATGTATTTCAAATATTTTCTCCTAGTCTGTGGTCTGCCTTATTTTCTTGATATCTATTGAAAATCAATTTTTTTAAATTGTTTGACGAAGTCTAATTGTCAAGATTTTCTTTTATGGTTCTGTCTTGTTTGTTCTAAGAAAACTTTGCCTGCTCCAAGATTACAAAGATTTTTTTCCCTTCTTCTAGAAGTTTAATCATTTTGGGGTTTATATTTAGCTCTAGCATCCATTTTGACTTAATTTTTGTATATAGTGTGAGGTAACAGCTGATGGAGTTCCCTCCTCCCAGTGGAGTTAATGCCATTCCCTTCAGTTGCTCCAACACCATTTGTTGAAAAGACTTGTCCTTTCCCCATTGATATATTTGCTAAAAATTAGCACTGTCTGTGTGGGCCTTTTTTTTTGGACTCTATTCTGTTCCATTGTTCTATAAGCCTACATTTTGTCAATACCAGACTTTTTCGATTCCTGGGCCATTATAATATCCTTGAAATATAAAGCTAAGGTTAATAAGTTGAAAGATAAGACCTCCAACTATGTTTTTTTTTTTTTTTTTTTTAATTGCTTTGTGTGCTGCCTGTGGAGGTGAGCTGCCAAGACAGCCTTCAAAAGGACCTATGGTTGGGAGCATAGCTGACAGCACCACCCTCTGGATTCACCATCCACTTGGAAGAAAAGCCAGGCTTCTCTGGACAGTTTCTCACCAGCACCTGGGGGTGGTCTGGGTACAAGTGGTAACCCGTTCCATCAGTGCAGGGCTCTTCCCATGGCAGTTTGTGCTTGATGAATCCCTACTCCTGGCCAGACCTTCTCCAAGCTGCACTAATGTCTGAAATCCTTTCCACACAGTCCTTCCTTTCCTCCTCCCTCTCCTTTCACGGGAGTCAGGTCCATGGCAGCATTTCATGAGGGTACGACAGCTTCCTTCGCTATCCCGCCTCCCTCCCCAGTCATTTCCCCTACAAATCTCTTGCATATCTAATTCGGTCTTGATTCCCGCTTCACAAAAGTCCCTAAACTGACATATATTGGTTATTTTAGGTCTTTTGCATTGCTCTACAAATTTTATAAATCAGCTTGTGAAATTCTGTTTTAAGCAAAACAACCTGCTATAATTTAATTGGCAGCTCATTGACTCCAAGAACATCTTGGGCAGACTTGCTGCCTTCCATGTTGAGTCATCACAAATAGGCTCCATCTTACCACTTACTCTGTCTTCTGCAGTTTCCCTCAGCACTGTTTTGTACTTTTTACCATAGAAGTCTTAGGCATCTTTGTTGCTTTTATTCTTAAGCATTTGTAGATTTTTTGGTACCACTGTATTGGAATTATTTTTGAATTTTTATCTTCCAATCTATTACCCTCAGCATATAAAAATACAATTGAATTTTTTACATGAACTTTGTATCTTGAAATCTTGCTAAATCCATTAATAGTTCCAGTAGCTTTATCTCCACTTCTTTCACCTTTTTAAGCAAAATTTTCATGGAAACCCAGTGCTGTGTGAGTAGCCCAAGTTCATCCTATCAACTTCTGTCTCCCTCCCCAGGACCTTCCCATATCGTTAAACATAGCTTCTGGGAATTTCTGAAGAACTCTAAGACTCCAACTGAACAATCCACAACTGAACAATCCACTCTTCTAGAGGAGCTGGTTTTTACCGAAGCACCTCTCCCCATAGTTCATCGGCATTTAATTGACTGAAGCACCTCTCCCCATATTTCATAGGCATTTAATCCCATTTTTGTCTTTAAAACAAACCTTTGTGAGAGATAAGTAGATACAGTTTCATTTTAAAAATGAAGAAATTGTAATTAAATCTCCTTGAGATTGTCGTGGAGTTTGTTGCTGCCTGAGAAAGGATTTAAGTCTGTCCGAGTCCAGACCCCACCACCCTCAACTTGGACATCCCCTCCCCCCACCCCCTCAACCTGGACATCCCAGGCCAATGTAGGCAGACAGGTAGATTTCAAAATATATTTCTGCTGAAGGTCACACCTTTAGGCTGACTAGCCTTACATTCATTTAGCATGTGGACTTGCTGGGTGTCCACCCTGCGCCTCCCACCATCTGGTTCCCCAGCTTCCTGTTCCAGCCACACTGCTTTCTGAGAGTACCAGTGACATCTCTCTCACTCATGAACTGTTTGTAAGTCTAAGCATTTATATGATTTCTCTATTACCTTTGCATAGAACATCTTGGAGATCTGTGACCCAGTTTGCTTCTGTTATCATCTAAAGACTCTGTGCACCTTTTATCTGCCTTTCATCCTGATACCTTATTAATTGCCCAGAATCACTCAGTCTACAGCTGAGTTCTTGTCTTCTCCATTTTCTCACTCATTCTTAGAGATAATCCTTCAGACACGAGTAGGAGCAAGACCCCGCATCAGATCTGCCAGTTGCCCAGAGGGCTAGTCCCTCAGCTTCACGGGCTTTCCAGTATAGCATCACTCTCCTCACAAAACCATTAAGTTAGCAGGAATTCTAATGGGTGAGCATCTGGAAAACACTTTGATCTCCTCCACACCCTTTTTACTCTCATAAGAGAACAAACCCTTCCTTAAACCCAGTCTGTTTTGATTTGTACTTTGGGGGACATATTTAAAACTTCCAAGCAATGCCTCCATTTGGATGGGTGCTTTTCTGATATCTACACCTCATTCAAAAGTAAGTTCATCATTATCCTACCAAATAGATAGCTAATCCCTAACATCCTTTCACTTCTAGGAATACCACCATCTGGTTTGTTTTCTTTCCTGCTTTGCTTCTACCTCGTCACCAGACCTAGTGCACAGTGGCTCTGAGCTAGCCTTGCCTTGGGCTCTGTCCTACGCAGCAGCTGTTGCCAGGCCAGGGCTGTATCCATTCCCTCTTGATTAGTTTCCTCTTGATTAGTTCCGGTCTTCTACAGTGTCCCCCACTCAGGGTCAGTGATACAAGGACAAAAACCTTTCTTTTGGTACTTTTTGTCACAAGAGCCCACAATCTAGTAATAGCTAAACACCAGCAGTCTGGGCCAGCAAACTGTGTGTTGGCTCCCCATTTTCTGTTCACTAAATCTAAACTCCTTTGGCCCTGAAGGTTTTCCACCAGCATCCTGTGTCACCAAGTTCGTTCTCAGTATTATCCCTCAATATGGAACTCCTTCAGCCAAGAGAAGAAACATGAGGTTTGCTGGCCCTTTTATGTGATATGGCCATTCTCCCCTCCATGCTTTTGCCCATTTTATTCTACATGCCATGAATGTCAATGTTTAGTTCCCCTCCCCTCCTCATTTTAAGCCCTACCCCTGCATTTTTCTATCCTAGGATTTTTTTTTTCCTCTAAAACCTGTCTAACCTGCAAGGTGTATGTTCTCTTAGTAATAAGAGATTTACTTATTATATAAGACATATAATAAATCTCTTAATATCTTATTTTCAATTTGCTAGCAAACAGCTTTCCACATTAACTGAATATCTTTAGGTGGTGAGCCTACTTCAAGATAAAGACCATGTGTCTTATTTAACTCTATATGTTGCCGACATCTAGTCCAGTATGAGATAGTCGTTTAAGTGCAGTAAAATATATGTTGAATATATAGACACCAATTTATGGAAATTGCCCTCTTCAATAAGTTTCTAAGTGCACAAGAATTTCAGCTTCCTCATCTGGAAAACAGTACCCAGAATACTGACTCATCATTGGTTGTCAGCATTAAATAAGCAAACTGATGTAAATACCCTAGCACAGAACTTTTCATAGCCCACTCAATCCTTGTGTGCTCACACCCTCCACTTAAGTTTTTAGAATGGTTATCAGAACCATGGAGTTCCTATTATTGCTTCTCCATGTCAGGGCATCCTTGCTAGGGCGTCTTCCGGGGCAGTGCCATCCTCACGTAGGGGACTGTAATACTTTACAAGAATGAAGATCTTGCTCCCATGGGAGAAATAGCCACAAGGACCACAAGGGACTCCTGCTTACAGTGGCGCTTCCTGTGACACATCTGACATGCAGCTATGTGTTGCCTTATCTTTTAAAAGAATTCTGTAAATGCATAAACTTGTTTGGACTCTGCTTCATAGAGGTAGGAACCATTTTCTCCCTCCCCTTTCTTACTTTTCATATAGGGGAGAGTTATGTGTGATCATCAGACTGAATAGGCTTTGGCACACTTCAGAGCGATCACAGTAACCCTGAAATCTGCATATTTGTATGTAGCAGAAAGAATGAAAATTATTAATGGGGAGTCCTTAAATCACTTCCACAAATTTGATTTTCCTGTTTTTGGAAGGTGGTTGTTCCTAAATTGAACTATGCCCTCAGTCTTTCTATCTGTAAAGTAGGGGTAATGATTTGTTCTCTTGCCCTCGTCTCAGGTTTCATCCTGCTTATGATACAGATGAAAGAGCACTGGACTGGGAGTCAAGAGAACTCAACTCTAGTTCTCTGACTAGCTGCATAGACCTTGCAAAAATCATTTCTACTCATTTCCCTCACCTTGAAGTGGGAAGTCAAAAATGAGCTTCGTCAGCTCCCACATACAAGAGTGGTCTGACTTGTATGAGTTGGGTGGTCCACTTCCAACTGGCAGATGAGGATACTCCTCTCTGCATAGAGGAGCATCTGGTGTGTGCTGTCTGTGGCCAGTAGGTGACCTCTTGGCACCCACCTTCTGTGTCATAGCGCCATACACCAGGCAGAAACTCAGAGGGGGCATATCTGACAAGAGACAGGAACTCTAGGGCCTAGGAAAGGAGGGGCATGTGGATGGCTTGAATATTTTTGCACAGATGATTAATTTTTAGGCAACAATATAGCCTGTTATTATGCATTCTTCTTTTCAGATTTCCTAAGCTGTCCATCAGTTCGCTAACTCACAGTTGAAGGGGTTACCCAGAGGAATGACCCAACAGGGATGGGCTGGAAAAAGAAGTTGGAGGTCACTTCTTCCCCCTGTTGGGAGTGTTAGCCAAGTGCAGCAGGCAAAAGCAGCCACTGGTGTTCATTTGACCATCACACCAAGTTCATCGCAGATCACCTCTGACCCCAAACTTTTCTAGATCTGTATCACACTTTAGAATCTATGTGTCTACATATGTTATATTTTCAGTTGTAGGAAGTGAAAGGATAGGCGCGGTAAAGAGGAGAGCCAGGCCAAGTTTCTAACAGGCAGGAACTTTATTGTGCCCCCAGGCGAGGTTCACCAACCCCCACAGTGGTCGGAAAAGTCATGCCCGTTGTGGGGGAGAGAGATGTCCTTTTATAGAACGAGGAAAGATTAGGTGGGAAACTGGGTTTGCAGGGCGGGGAATGATTTGTAGGGCAGGAAAAGGTTTGTAGGGCGGGAAAAGGTTTATTGTCTGATTTTTCTATGTGGGCTCCCTCGTTCCTGCCCCCTGCATTGACCTTTCAGGAAGGATTTTATGTCTGAGCTAACTGATGTCAGGATCAAATAGGACAAGTAGAGGGATTTCAGGGTTAGACGTGGCTGCCCAGGCCCTCACTCCTCTAAAATTGGCTTCTACCCCAAAAACTGTTTCAGGGAAGTTTTGTTAAAAGCCCCCCTCTAAGACTGATCCCTTTTGTCAGGTATATTTGAAGAGGGGTGAAAACATAAACCAGAGGCTTTAGAACCAAAGCCTCTCGGAGGTAGAAGGCAATTCAGTCCCGCAACTTTGCAGACATGTCCTTGGGAGAAAGCTCTGCTTTCTGTGGCGTCATTTCACACACACCCCCCTCCCCATTTGACCCAGTCACACCTGGGTTTTCTTCCTAGCCACCTTAATGTGGTAGCCTATCACTAAACCTGGTCCTGATCTTGGTGTGGCTTCCTCTCTACCTGTGCAGTCCCCCAGCTGTTTTGTTCTGGAATCAGGGAGCCCTGTCTCAGACTCTGTTCTCACAGAAAGGGTACTTCAAAAAGTGCTACCCCACCTCACTTGGGATGTGCATCATGGCAAGGAATGGGAACACACCCCATGGTCACTGTGCCCCAGTCCAGCCTACTGCCTGCCTGTGGTTCCCAGCCAGTGGCAGCCATTGAAAATGCACCATCTGAATTTCCCCGGCCCACAGAAAAAGTGGTTAAGAAGTCTCTTCTGTCAGAAGATGCCTGAATCACCACTGCTGGCTTAACTTCTCAGAACTTTTGCTTTCCTAAGACCAGGAGGACTATTTCAGTGGCAGTTTAAAACAGCTGCTTATTCCACTGTGGCACAAGGAAAGCACATCGGCTGGGAGAGCCAGGCTGGCCCTGGGTGAAATCCCAGCTTTTCCATTCAGCAGTTAGGTGACATCTTGGCAAACTGCTGAACCCAGTCTGTGCACGTGAAAGGGAACTCCCGATGCCTTTGCCCGGCTGCTGTGGGGATTAAACAGAGCTGCACATTGTCACGTGCCCAGCCCATCGCGGCTGCTCCTGAGGCTTTTTCCTTGCTTCCCTCCCATCGGAGAAAGACCAAATTATCCCAAGCACAGCTCATTAGGAGGCTTAAACTTTTCTGCTCAAAGACCAAACACGTAGTGATGGATCCAGTTCCTGCCTGATCGTTTCAACTCGCTAATGGAGCCCTTTGCAGCGTGGCTCTCCCGCAGAGCTGGACCGTGGTCGGGAATCTGACAGCTGTTACCTTCACCCCCACACCCAGCCCCAGTCTTCAGATTTTGTCTGGGGTTTTCAGATACAAATAGGGACTGTGAATGAAACTCTCATTTGTGAAATTAAAGCTATACTTTTTAAAAAATTTCCTAATTGATGAATTATACTGAGACCATTCCACTCTGTGTGTGTGTGTGTGTGTGTGTGTGTGTGTGTTTGTGTATTTCTGTCTGTCTAAAATGTAACTAATCCCAACACAGCCAGATGAGTTGGCTTAATCTGTAGTGACTAGTCTATTCAGAGTATTTCACTGTGAATCTCAAATCTTGCAATTGTTTGTCCATCTTGCTCAGAGGGACTGTTAAGATAGCTGAGCTGCCGGCCCCCTTTGTTTCCTTGCACAGACAAAACTTAGAAGATATGAACCTCAAAGAGCAGAGACTGGGTTTGAAAAATCTTTAAAGAACCACCGCAAAAATATAGCTGCCACTTACAGTATAAATGTTACTGTTTATATTGTATATTATGTTATATTATATATCTTTGCCTTATGTATTATATTATAATCTATGTATTATATATTATATTTTTGCTTATTTTAATTCCCTTCATATTTAGGAGACTATTACACACTTAAAACTGAAAATGCATCCAGACACAGTCAACACCAGTTATATCTTGTAGTTATTTATCCAAGTTCCTTAAAGCCACAAACATGTTTTCTACAATAATAACCACACTGTAACAGAAGTACATAAAATCTCCAGTTCTAAAGGAGAAAGCTATGTGTTTCTCTGTGCTTCCATAGTATATTGCTTTAAAAAAAAAATGTTCTGCAGTTCAACATTAGATATCCAAGTTGCTAACTTATAAGCAAAGCAATCTCAAGAAGGAATTCCTTCTGCCTGAAGTTGACAGCCGTAATAGAAACACGAGTCATAAGCAGATTTTAAAATCAAGTGTAATCATCTGGTGCTGACAAGGAGCTTTGTCTTAGCAGAGCAACTGTAAGACCCGTATTTTCTGGGATTGTCCTAATTTTGAGTGCTCTGACCCATTGCCAAGCTTTGTATTTAGACAAAGTATCCTATTTTTCCTGTTCCGCGAAGATGTTAGCATACAGTTCAATTTAAAGATAAGTGCTACGAGCAACGCTTCCAAAAGACAAAAGTAGCACCATCTCAACTTGTCTTTATTAAAACTGCAATTTTCTAAAGCCTGTGTGCTTAGATCTGTGATAACTACATAACGTTGTTTCCAAGCTTGATTAAGGAGACTTTTGTTCTGCTCTCATAAAACATCTCCTTTTATGTACTTTGAGCACCCCAAGTGGGTTTATAATTACAATCTCATTTGAAGGGGGTACAGGGGAAATAACAGTTGTTCCTTATAAACTCCAATTTTCTAGAAAGACATTTAAGTTTGCAACTCCTGAGTACCTGAAAAAAGCAAGCAAGTTACACATGGCTGGAATTTCGCCTATTTTAGTTTTGGAATGCACCTATTCTTATGGCAATGAAAATGAATAAAAAATGCTTGCTTTTGTGCTATGAAAGAGAGAAAAGCCAGTCCTTGAATATTTGCAACAAAAATTCATCACTGGCTGCTGGCATTTACACTGTCTAAAGTTTGGAAGTAAAATATTTTGCTACTCTTTAAATATTTTAACAATTTAAAAAATACACAAGGAAAACATCCATTTATCCCCCTAGAAGTGCACAAACTCGGGGTGGCATTCTGCATGCTTCTATTTTGCCACAGTTCTGATTTTTCCTTCAACTGAAAACCTACAGATATAAACTCTGAAAAGAATAGATTGTTTCCCCCTTCCATCCTCATGTCAATGAAATATTGAGTTACTGTTTTCTGATCACAAAATTTATGTCCAATTAAAAAAAAAACAGTCATTTTCACAGATACATTCTATTAAAAGTTAGCCAAGACCAACTAATAAAACCTCAAAAAAAAGAACATATTTCAAAGAATTTTGTTCTGTTCAATAATTGCATGAGTTTTTTTTTTTTTCCAGGAAAATGTGCAAATATCAAGGTTACCTGGGTCTGCTGGTCACTTCTAGTATTGGGACTCGGAGATGGTGAGTTTTGCTAATGATGCGCGGCTGTTTAAGAATCGGGTGGCTTTTCTGGCAATCACTCTTTGTGTGCCATCTTTTATAAAGGTGCTTCTTGTTGCTAAGAGATCAGTTGCTTAGAGACCAAATCATTAAAAAAATATATATGTCAGGGGCCAACATAAATTATAACCAAATTTTGTCATTCCAATTTGCCCTCTAAATGTTTGGCTTTTGTAATAGATCGTAACGTACCAAGAGAAGCCAATTACTAATCACAAATAGAAAACTGACCATGAGGAGGAGAAAAGATCTGTTCGTACACTCCCGTGGACAGAGAGTAATGCCACAGATTCCCTGCGAGGGAGTTACAGCGTCGCGAGGCTCTGGGAAACTTGGATTTGTCGCTGGGGTCCTAGCCAAGTGTGGGAACACAGGTTGACACATAAATATATACCTGTCCCAGGCGAACTTCAGTGCAGTTTGGAGTATGGAGCCATGGGAATTGTGGAGCTTCTGTAGTCTCTTCCAAAGAAACATTGAAACTGTTAGCTGGAAATCTTATGTGAGCTTAGCTTGCAGCTGGATGTATTCGTGTGTGCACAGTTGTTATCACCCCTTTAGGTCCAGGTATATACGTGCTGGGAGGGTGTTTTTGGATAAGACACTTTCTGCTTTTCATCTTCTCCCCTGTACACAGATAGGGCAGTACCCAAGGAATAGGGGTAAACACAACTGGTTAGTTAGGTAAGGTTTGCTGTTAAGGTTCTTCTGCCTGTTCCTGGTGACGCTGTCCATTGAGACCCTTTGCCCTCAGTTTACCTGTCACCTAAGTGCTACCCTGCCAGAGATGTTTGCATCTTAGGAGTATAGTTTTGAAATGAAAACTTTTTTACATTCCTGGAAGAGTCAGAGGAACGGAGGCAACCCAAGCTTATTGACAGGGTAAAAGATGTTTGAGGGCGAAATAAGGGTGAGCATAGCCTATGCACTGTCCAGCCCCATAACAGCCCTCCCCCACCGTCTCGCCCTCCCCTCCCCGGCTCCTCCCCACCATCCTTTGGTGGGTCTCCTTGATGCCATCTTAGGTGAGAAGCAAACAGCAAATACGAGATCAAAGAGTTGCTGCTAACTATCAGGACAGGTAAAAAGAGGGCCTAGGGTCTTCTCTTCTTCCTTTCCTAACCTCCAAGACTTGCATTATTATAGAAGCCCTTCATGTCTTTGGCTCGACTGGTAAAGCATCCAGGGATGACCACACTGTACCAAGGGAGGAGAAGGGAGGGCTGCAGGCTGGGGTAGCAGAGTCAGGAGGGAGGAGGAAAGGCTCTTTCACTCTTCAGCTCTGATCACTGTCAGATTAGCGTCCCCCTAGCACTCATTTACAAAGTGGATGAAAGCCCCACAGCCAGTTTGAATTTATTTAAAGGTGTATGGAGCTTACAAAATTAAAGCCTGCACAGTTGGGATGGAGTTAATACTCAGCAGAAATTCATTACAAAAGGAAATGTGACACTGACTTCCCCCAACCAAAGCTACAAGGGAAATGGATGCAGAGCATTCGCTGGGCTGTCCGAGAGGAAACTCGGAGTGATTGAGCATGCATTTCCCCTTAAAGATGCTGTCTTCTTCCTAAGCCTCCAAATTTCTCTGATGCCTCTCTCTCTCTCTCTTTATTTTGAGAGAGAGAGAGAGAGAGAGAGAGAGAGAGAAATGGAAGCAGAAAGGGCAGGGGTCCATGATAGAGGAGTTAGGAATAGAAAAAGGCAAGAGAAAAATAATTTTTTTTCTCATAGTTGGTTCTGAGGAAATTCCAGTTGAAGGAACGAGAGAGAGGAAGGGAAGCAAAGGGAGAAGGGTCCATGAAACACCTTCCACTTTTCTTTCCCCAATTCAGAGTGCTTGGTGCGGTGCTTTTCCGTTCAGAAAACGATCAAGTGCTTTTGCTCCGTTTTAAGACACGGGAGAAAAGGAACAGAAGGATGTGCGCAAGGGGCAGGAGCTGTTGCCGGCCACTGCACTTCCTTGCAAGTTCCTCCGAAAGAGCAAGCTTTGCAGACATTTGTGTTTGGCTTCGCCGTCTAAAGCTAAAAGCCTGTACCTTTTGCCCATCCATCCTGGGTTTTCTACGCCTCCGTCTCTGTGCCGCCCTCTGCCGGTGGCCACTTGCTCTGGCGTCGGAGCGTCTATCCCAGGCAGCATTCGGGATAACCGTCCTCCGCAGGCTTCTGCTTCCCCTGCAGTAGTCTTTGAAGGACCCGCCACGCTGTCAACACTGTGTGGCTGGAGGAAACAAGTTTGGATCCGTGAGGGCTATGCCTGCAATTGTCCCAACTTGAAGCTTTACAAGGAATTTTTAGCACAGATTTAACTGTTTGTGCCCAGGAGTACTCAGTGCGATTTGGGGCCCTGTGCTGGGGCAGACCGCTAGTCCTAAGATACATGGAACACGGTGGCTCCACAACCTTGACCCTGCCACTGCGGGGAGGAAGCTGAGCAGCCCACACAAGCCCCACCTCCCAGTCTCAAGAATGGGGAAACCGCTGGGAACCCAGAACAGTGGGTACCTGCTTCCAGATCAAGGAGATGATACATAGACATCAAGCCCCTGGAGGTCCCATGTGGAAGTAGCTGCCACCACAGGTGCCTCTTGTTGCAGAAACTAGTGTCCCCTGATGCCACTCCCAACCGAGTACCCCAAAACCCTGTTGCTTTGTCTTCTGCCAGCTGCCAGAAATACCCTCAGGCCTTGCCTCTCGCAGCTGAAAATCCAAGACACCATTTCTAAAAAAGGCTCACACAGCCTCCTCCTCTAGCTGGGAGGTAAGATCTCCTTCCTATCCTGGGAAGAATCTAGTATAGTGACTTGCAACTCTATTCCTAATTCTCCAGGCAGCTGTTCTCCAAAGAAGACACATTGCCTCTAGAGGAACACGACCTGCTAGATAAGAATGAAGGTTGCTTCAGACGTTTGGAGTCCTCTCCAGAAGGACTTGTCCATGCTCCCTCGAAGAACTAGTGGAAGTTCTACCAGTACAAACACACGCAAAAAAAGTGTGCCTTTTTCATACTGTTTTGCCTTGCCAGTAACCATGTGCTGGACAGAAAGCTAGTCATGGAAGCTGGAACACCAGGGGGCAGCAGAGGACGGGCTGTCCTGGAGAAGGCGCCCCAGCCACGCTGCCCGGGCAGGACTAGGAAAGGGTGGGGGCTTTGGACTGCAGAAGGCAGCAAAGCCAACTGCCTCGAGTTGAACTCCACGGCAACTTTGGGAGGCACGGGGTGAAGGGGCAAAAACCTGCTCTCCCGGGGCACCGTTGCTCCTCCTGGCCCCAGGAACTACAACCAAGCTTGCCCCCGTGCTAACTGCATCTCAGAACGCGAGAACCTTTTGGTCGCGGTCCAAGGGGACATCTAGCCTGCTCAGTCCAGAGACAGACGAGACTGGAGTCAACGGATCACAGACTCCAAGACACGTGGTTATTGCTGCCTTTGGGAAGCTCGCCTCCTTCTGCCGGCCTTACCTTGCCCTGGCAGTGACGGAAGCCTTGTCACATTTCATCCTTCGCTTTGGTGCAGGTCAGCACAGTTCTACTCAGAAAAAATTTCTCTAAACACTCTGCGCCTCTTTCAAGTAGTATTCCACCATGAGGGGATACACTTGCTCACATGCATACCCACTAGTTCTCCAATAATTACCTAAAGAGCAAGGCCACGCACAATCTATCGTCACTTGGGTGTTCAGGAAAGACTCATCCTTGCACCCGTCACCAGCAGTGGACCTGGTCCAACTATCCAGGAAAATGCACCCCTTCTTGCCTGCTGGAACACCCCTACTCTCCCTCCCGGGACACCCCTTCTCTCCCTACCCTCTCTGCCCTGCCACAGGAAATATGACTTCTACCCACACCAAAGTTCCAATGTTCTGCTTATACTGGCACTCTGCCAGCCAGCCTGCCCCTGGGGGTTACAACAGCGCCCCCAGGAAGGCCTCTAAGAGGAGACGCCTTGCTCTGACATGTCGAAGGCACAACGCAGAGTCCGCCAGCCACCATGTGCCCAATTCATCTTATCAGACATTCAAGGCAGGAGCTCTTGGATAGCAATTTGTTCAGTAATTATTATAACAAAAGAGCACAGCCTAATAAGCACCACCACACAGCCCAATTTCACTGCTTTGCTTGGAGAAAGAACCATGATGTTCTTCTCATAGATAATCTGGCCCCAGTTGACCTTCGTTGCTGATAATTTACCTCTAGTTACTGCTTTTGACAGTGTTCAGGTATTAATTATATCCATCTGCTAAATAATTTGCTGGGTGAAAAAAGATTGGGGAGAGGGATGGGAACAAGGAGAACGTGATGTAGTGGGAGAAATGTGGAAGGAAACAGAAACCAAGGGTCCTCTTGAACTTGCGCTGTGTCCCCACAAGACTCATACATTAATATTCACACTGAGCAGGTTCCACAGTAGCCTACCAAATCTGGAATCTTCTCGGTGATCATCAAGAGAAAAAATTAGGGGTAATAATTAATTGTACCCCAGTTTTAAGCCAACAGGTTTCTCTTAGCAAAGTGCAATTAAACTGAGCAAAATTCTCAAATGAGCCTCCATTCTCAATCTCTGACTCACCTCTGAGTCCATTTCCCGTCTCCCTCTTCTACCTGTACGTCCCACCCAGCCACCTCTCCTCTGTAAGTAATGCCCTCCCTCCTGCTGCCCTCCATACACTGCCACTCAAATGGATGAGTTGAAATAAAGGCCAAGAAGCACTGAACTAAACTGCTCTGCCTTCAGAGCATCTGTTTTGTTTTGGTTGTTTTCCCCCTCAGAGGTGGATTCCTGTCCCAATCACAGCCTTCATCCAGCAGGGTACAAAGTGCTTCTCATTGCGCTCAGGACATCATGTTTGGAAGCCAAGAGTGCCCTGACCACAGGCATGCCCCGAGCACACTGTGTAAGGGGTCCTCATCCAGAGAGCAAATGTTCCCTGGTGTGTTCACTGCAGACATGGTCACCTCCTCCCCAGTCAGCATTTCCCAACTGTTTCTCATTCTTTAGGAGACTTGATGTGTCAGCAGGGAGCAGGCAAGCAGGTAGATGAAAATCACCCAGAAGGCCTGAAGAGGCAGGGGTCTCTGCACAGAAGACCGTAGCTTGTATGCAGCTGAGTTGTTGACACCTAACGTTTGGGACGTCTGGAGAGAGGTGAGCCATGACAGGTTCAAAATACACCTCCGGAAGTCTCTGGAGAGACAGGAGGTGCTGCTCCAGTCTTGCTGAGGATGACTCCAGCAAAAAAAGGCTTATTATTCATCCTGCCTGGCATTTTTATAGAAAGGGTAACATCAGCAGAGGGCAGGACAGATCAGATCCACAGGAATGGGGCTTGTCACCACCTGTTCCTCCCGCACATGGGTCAGCCAACTGACTCCAAACAAAAAATAGTCCTTTGGGAATGAGCTAGAAAATGTATCTGTCTTTTCTTCCATGCCTGTCCTGTCCTTCCCCGTCCCCCAGGACCAACCCCAGTCAAAATAATGGAAAATTATTCTTGAAGGAAAGAAAACCAACAGCAGCTCCCCGGACGAGAGAGAAGGCGGCTTGTGGCCAGCATGGGGTCAGCACCGTTGTTTCCAAGAGGCGCTGCTAAGCAATGTGAACCTCGATGCAAATCAAGGTTTAAAACCTGGAGGTTTTAAAGCCTCCAGGAACTTGAGCTCACATGAACTTGGGGCTCTTCCCAGCACTGCTTCCTCCAGGGTGCCGTGAACCCCCTCAGGCTTCCCCGCAGCTGTAGCTCAGGCATTGGTTCCACAGGTCTGCGGTGACCCACCTGCTCCACGCAGGACCCCCAGCCTCTCCTCCTTGCCTGGGCCCAAACACCTTTGCCCCTAACTTAGCCCTCTCACCAGGCCTCTGCCCTGCTCTCAGATGATCCTTCTATTTCAGTCCTTCCGTTAAAACCTCCAAAGTCATGAATAAATTAACTCCGTAGTATTCCTGAGTCAAGGCTGAACCTGCTACTCTGCTTAATGGTAGACCCGAGGTCGGTCCAGGTTGGCAGCCAACAGGAAAGCCTGGGTATATACCTCTTCAGGGAGGAGTGCGGATCGAAGGTGCAATGTTAACACTTTCACAGCTTCAGTGAGATAGTTCATCGATGACCGTGTTTATAAGCTAAAGAGTATTACTGGAATTACTGGAGTAGGTAATAATAGAAAGCTGCTTTTGTGTAATAATTTAAAAGCACCAAGAATTTGATGAAACCTCTTACTGCCCTGGAATCTCTTATTTTTCCCAGCCTATCTCCCCGAAAAATTTGCAGACCTCTCAAGAGTAAGGACCATGTCTTATTTGTCTTCCTAGCCATGGGCTCAATTCTTTCATCGTGAATAATAGAAACCGTTCACCCCTGTTCCTCATGTCCCCAGACCTTACCTCCCTGGTGCTTCTCGGGTTCTCGGAGTTCTCTGTTCTACCCAGATCAACCCATCTCTAGGAAGGAATTTTTGTTCAGTCAGCCGTTACACTGCCCACTATCCCAAGCATTGTACCAATTCCCTGGCCATCCATGATCATCTCATTTGAGCCTTAGTATGTGGGATTTCACCCCAACTCTTCCACAGTTATCACTCAAGTGACAGATTCCACACAGTCCCACCCCCTTGCCATTCACCTCGTTTCTGTGCCCTGGGCGTGCTCTCTAGGAAGCGCTCCACCCCGGCCCTCCTGGTCGGGTGGCCTCTGCTGGCCTGTGAGCCACTATGGAGACAGCCCTCTCTTAGCCTGCTCCTTTGCTCTTATTTCCTTACTGCCTCTGCCCTCACCCTCCATCCCCACTCTTTCCTGGAGACAGAAGCCCTGATCTGAAACCTGACCTCCACCCGCCTGCCTGCTGGACCATTCTCAGTCACCATGGCCACCCGCCGCCCTGGGGCCGGTCTCTGCTTTGCTGCTCTGCTGGGACACCACCAGCCCCATTTCCTGAGCCGATGGCACTGCCCATCTGTTTAAATCAAGACCAGGAATTGCTCTTTGACCTTTGCCCTCCCGCCTAGCCCCGCACTCAGCATCAGGCCCACGGTTGACAAGAGGGCCCCACCATCTCCCAGTCTTTCTTGGTCAGCTTCAGCACGACAGAAGCTCTGCCATACAGAGGTGACGCCCCTGCCTCCAATCACACACACTTATGTTCCCCTTTTCCTTCTTGCACTGTCAAGAGAAATGGAAAGGTGAACTCAGTCGGGGCGGGGGGAGGGTATTCTAAAATGGGCTTATTGACGTAGAATAGAACGTTTGATTAGTGACATTCTTTATGGAAGAGGTGGTGGAGGTGCAGGTAGGCCTCTGACAGTCAGACACGCTGAGTGTCTGGGACAGCCCTGCTGTCTGTGAGGTTTTCTTTTCAGTGAAGAGAACTGACTTTGTGCTTCACTAAATATACAAATCTTTACATGTCAAATGCTTTGTTAAACTGTATGCACATTTCCAAAAAACATTTCAAGAGAATTCCTTCAAAAATCATGAATTTGGAAATCCCCATCTCCCCCCAAACCCCACTCCCCACTGATGAGTGAGTAGATCCTGGGACAGTTCTGGGCAGGTCTGGGCAGCTGTCCCAGGGCACCCCTGCACCTGCCCCGCCGACCCCACCTCCACCTTCCCACACGAGGCTGCAAACCAGCATCCTATCTCTAGCCAGGTGGGTGCTCTGGGGCATTCTGTGATGCTTTGTTGGCAGCTTTGCTTACAGTCCCTTCAGCAACCCACTGTGCCCCTTTTCTCCCCACTCTCCTCGAGACAGCCAGGAGCCCTCGGCATCCTCTTCCCCCACTTGCCAGAAAACTTTCCTGAGTCCTTCATCTCCATGTAAATGGGAAGCAACCCCTGTTACCTTCCACAGAGTTATTTGCCTTTTAAACCTTTTCCCAGTGAATCAGGGAGTGAAACCTTACCCCTTTGAAGGAATTTTAGGATTAACACACTCTGGATAAAAATGAAAATAGAGGGCGCGGTCTCTCTGCCAGCCCGCCAATATCCTACACAGCAGACCAGTGCTACAAGACCCAGCAGAGGCTGGTGAGGATCAAGCATGAACAGTCCCGCCATTCCTCCACCAGCCTGCCCCTGAACCTCAGGCCCCACTGAGTGGAGGGCTCCCAGACAGCAGGGGTGAAGCTGAGGTTGAACTGCAAAAGCATCTTTTTCAATGCCAGTTGTCTTCCCTAATGCCAGCCCTCCTGGGCTCACTCTCCCCTAACTCTTCAAAGCTATTTACTTCTCTTTCCTGCTCAGTTTCCCAGGAACCACCTGGGAATGAGGCAATGTGTTTCCCTTTGCACAGTGCCTGGCACATAGTAAGCACTCAGTAAATGTTAGCTATTAATAATCTAAAACAGAGTAAGTTCAGAAAGGAATCTATGGGTTTTTGCATAGAAGCTTCTAGGAGTGAGTCAGCATCTGGACAGTGGTGGGCAGCTTATTCTCAACAGCTGGTAGACTGTTCATCAATGTTTCTGGAGGGAGATTCAGTTTCTTTAAAAGAAGGTGTGTCAAACCGATTAAACATTATCTGTAAGATTCTCACCCAAAGCCAGAAGGGAACAGAAAGAAACACCTGAGGTTCTGCTTTCAGAATCCAGAATTAATCTTACTGCCTTAAGTCCAGGATCACAGCATTGCCTTCTTCCACTCCCTCACCCCCCATTCTGTTGCACTGCACTTTGGGGTTGCCACCATCTTCCTCCCATTTCCCACAGCTCTCTGGATTTCTGACTCATCCTTGTAGAGCTGCCTTGACTTCTGAGCTGCTGAGTGCAGGCTGATCCTCTGCAAAGACCCTGTCATGCTTCTGCCCCCAGAGTAGAGCCCAGCATCGGGGTGCAGGTGAAATCTCTGCTGCACTTTGAGGATCACCAGGTACCAAAAAACATCATCCCCAACCTCTGGAAGTCGGATGCCACTTGCCACCCTCTCCCGGATTCGGTATCACTGAGGTCCCAGTTTGTCTTATGATTGTGCCTGCCTAAATTTGGCAGAATAGTAGGTTTGAGACAGATTACAAAAAACCTTGAAAGTCAAGGTGTGTCATCAGGGTTATTGGGACACTGAGGGTTTTTGAGCACAGGGGATTCATAGGCTCACAACTGGGCTTTAGGCAGCCGTGGCCAGTGCACATGGTGAATTGCATGGGCAGAGCCTAATATCAGAGGCTGGTTGCCTGGACCCAGGTAACTTCCCCTTAAGGTAGAAAGGAGGGAGTCCATATGAGAAGTGGTTCAGAAATGGCATGGATTTGGTGATGGTGATGTACTGGAAAAGAGAAAGTACATTAAGCAATTACATAATAACAAGACCATCTTTTGAGCAGTCTTGCCCTGTTGCATTGCCAGTACCACACTGATAAAGAGATAGGAATCATGGACAGGATTAGGATGCAAGATGCTGCTCAAGAGCAAGATCCTGGCCTTTTTATTGACAGAGAAAAGGGTGGGTCAAACTGAACACTGGATTTTGGCCTTTAGGAAGAGTGAGCCCACTGATAGACTTCAGGCCCCTGCCCATGGCTCCAATCTTATTAACAAGATGATGGATCCATCCCTGGGGCAAAAAGCATATCAGTCAACAGCCACCCCTCCCCCACCCCCGCGCACCCCAATCCCCCACATTCCGTTCATACCTCGGGATATATACTTATTTCCCCAGGGCGATCAAGCATCCTGCTCTTGTCTAACTTGAAAGGAGTCTTGTACACCCACATTGCCCTCACTGGTCCTGGCCCCTGTGAGCCCACCGCACCCTCTAACTCCTCAGAGTTTGTTCACTTGAGTTTCCTGCTGGGTTTCCCAGGAACCTCCCAGAAATGAGGCAGGCCCACTTTAAAGGGAAAATATTCATGCTCATAAGAAATGGACAAGGGGCCATTATCATTTATAACATGATAACAACAAGTGTTTGTTGTAGAATGAGCATTGGTAGCATTCATGGAACATGAGGAAAAAAGACTTGAAAAGGCTACACAGATTAAGTATAGAACTAGGATCTGGTTTGTGACCCCCCCAAATCCTCATCTTTTGTACTGTAGAGAAGCCAGAAGGAGCAGCAAAACGAGGGGGAGAAAGGGGAGATGATGGTTTTGAACATGTTGAGGGGTTGGCAGGACAGACAGCAGTTAGAAATGTGGGCTTGGAGATCTGGAGATAGGTCAGGAGCAGAAAGATACAAATTTGGGGGTCAGTGGCAAGGCCAGTATAATGAAATCCCTCAGGATACATCAAATCTCCAACACAGAAGGTGGAGAGCTGGAAAAGCTCAGGCAGGAACCCTGAGGATGCAGTAGGCTTAGGAACTAATGAAGAAGCAGAAAAGAAGCCATGGGTGTAGAAGGAAGACCAGGAGAGGGTCATTTAACTGGAGTTCAAGGAGGGCAGCGTAAAAACAGGAGAGAAACTGTCAGCTTAAAGCATTTCACGTTGACAACTGGGCTGACAGGCCAGGAAAAGGTCTGCAGCGTCACCAACTTGCAACATAAAGACTGTGAACTGTAACCACGGTCCCTCCCTGGGGGGCAGGGGAGCTATGGAGACAGCAAGTGTGGACTCTTCTTTCAAGAAATTTGGCAGTAAAAGAGGAGAGAGCTGGAAGGGGTGGGGGTCGGTGGGGAAGAACCTCTTTGGACCAGTCTAACAACTGGATTCCACAAATTTAATCACTCAACTCTCAATCCCTGCGATGCTCACAGAGGGAAATCATCCCCAATCAGATTATTCATTGGCCAGAACAGATCATATTTTAGTAGCAGAGTTCAAACACCCCTTCCTCCCCGCCTCCCATTTCTGCCCCGGCATCCCTCTGGTAGTAATTTTGCAGTCATCACTGGCCTAGGAAAGAAAATCGGATGCTGAAATTTAGGATATCACGCCCCCTCCCCACCCCTTCCACCCAGAGCCGCCATGGATGAATGTCCCCAGATGAAAGGGCCCTTTTGACCCAAAATCTATAGAAAGCTTTCAGGATTTTCATAAACTGGCAAATGGTATCTGACTTTTATAGATTGAATCTCTTCCTTGGCCTCTGCCCATTTCTTCAGCCTTTGCATCGGAAAGGGGTCTCTCTAGGGAAGCCCCCTTCACTCAAGATCCCAGCTAAATCCCGCCCCTGCTTCCACACCAAGTTTGTGTCCTTCCAGAAGGGACATCTTTTTCTGAACTGCACAGCAAGTCAGCGTCAGTGGGGAGCCTACTTAGGCATTTACACTGGGAGAATGGCTGGGGTCCTTCTGCATGGGTGGAGCTCAGCTCTCTTTTTCTCTGTCTGGTCATAGGCCTAGTCCCCAAAGATCAGGGGCTCTGGTTCTCTGCCCAGTATGCAGAGGCAGCATGCCGACAGAGCTGGGCCTGAGGGCTCCACAGACCTTGGTCTCAGATAGAAAGGTCAGGCCCCAGAGGAGCCCTGAATAAATGAGGGGGAGGGGAGGGGCCTAGATGATCTGCTGTGGGAATTGTGGGAACCAGCCTTGGGAGTTCAATTCCTGGTGCAAAATAGTGGCATCTATGGAATTTGCACAAATTATTTTAAAACATGAAATGAGCAAGCCTGCGCTAAAACACCCCATTGAATGAGCCAAACTACAAGAGGCTAAATCATATGAAAACCCTTATTTTTTTAAATGGAACTGTATTTTGTCAAGAGCCCCTTGTATAGGATAAGTCTTCAAATCAAATACTGTTGCCATTGCCAGAGAAAATGTGCTTTAATTCTCTGATGCCAAAGAATGTCTGATACATTGTATAATGAAACTAGAATAATTGAGTTACTTGTTCATTAGAAAGCTCTCTAACGGAATACTCTAAATTCTTTAGCCACTGAGTGGGCTTGGAGTGAATTAACAGTGTTCTTTTTTTTTTTTTTTTTAAATTAATTTTGAGGTAGGGCACAATATTTACAATAGAATTTTTTTTGTGAAGTGCTGCTAAATGCTTTTGACTCCAAGAAGAATTACACCTTATTCTTTGATAATGCCAGGGTGATTCGGAAAGGCCAGGGAAAACTTGAGCCAACATGTTACTCAGTTAATCGGGTCACACTCCTCTCAGTTCCCATCTGGAATCTTCCTTTCCACTCCCCATCAGGGCCCTTCCTTTGCACCTACTCCCCTAACCTGCTGCCCCTCTGGTGAGGAGTTCCTGTCACGTGGTTTTGCTTCCATGTAACTGAAGTGTCAGTCCAGCAACCAACCTCCCCTTACCTCTCTGAGCTGGGGACCCCTGTGAAGGCGGAGACCCTGTGTTTGTCTTAACATCCCAGTCCTCAGAGGCAAGAACAGACAGCTTCACTCCTCGAAGGCTGTGGGAAAGCGCTGATGTTGAAGACAGAGAGCCAGTGTCAGATGAGAAGTGCTGGCGAAAATGGAAAAGCTGAGTCCAAACTCAAAGCCTGGGGCTTCCCCCGAGGTTCCAGACATGAAGGAGGCAGTCTCCAGCTTCCATTTTCTGGGAAGATTTGATGACGTACAAACCCAGTCAAGGCCACCCTTTCCAGGCCTGGCTGGCTTTGGGAAAGCTGCTTTTACCAGTGGTCACAAAGCTGCGCGGCAGAGGAGTCTGGGGAGTGGAGAGAAGAGGGAGAAAAGAGAGAAGTGACTCAGCAAAAAAAATAAATAAATAAATAAAGTGGCCAAGACAACTAAGGCAGGGGAAGGGCGCTTCAAGGAACAGGGAGCATTTAAGAGATCCTAGAAAGGTTGAGTTTGAGGACAACTAAGGACAGGCCCTCGGATTTCACCAAGTTGCTACTCAATTTGTCAATTGTTTCCAGAGAGATGAGGCTAGAAGCCAGGCAGCAAGGAGGTGAGAGGGGGCAGGTCAAAGTCCACACATTTCCAGAGCAGCAGGGCCAAGGTTGCAGGGGCCCATGTCCGACAGGAGGTGGCAGGGTGCGGGGGTGTGCAGACTCCAGGTTTGATTCTAGCAGCAACCCTCTGGGCAGGGGTAATGGTAGAAGAGACCTTGAGAGAATCTGAGGTGCAGAGGAAGAGTCTATTCTCCCTGTGGGATTGGAGGGAAGTAGAAAAGGCTGGCTGCAGATTTGTATGCGTCCTCAACTGTCCCTCTCCCAAGTCAAGGTGGCACACAGGGCCCAAGTCACTTTTGCTCATGTGGACTAGTCTCCAGAAGAACAGGGCGGCAGCAGTGTGGATCTGTTGACCTACATCAAATGACACAGTCACCCCTAAACCGAATCATACCTAGGGCCTGTCAGTGGGCCAGGGTCTTCCACGGTGACCTTCTCACTAAAATTCAATGAGGAGCTTTTCTGTAGAGAAGTTCAATATAAAGACCTGTCCCTTACGCTGAGGTTTAATCCTCTTTGCTGTTACAATGTTCTTTGCTGACCCGGAAACAATAGATCAGTGGTTGGGATTTCTCTTAATGTCTTAGCAAGAGAAAGAAATACTGTCCTCAAGGGTCTCCCCTTTGGTCAGTACCAACATTTATTATTCATAGCCCGATTTGTAAATTTATCGTGAACCATTGTTCAGAAACTAATGTTTATATGTACCTGCAAAATGTAGTTTAAAAACTTTTAAATGATGTATTTTTGAGTACCCAAGGAAAGACATTTCTGGTTTGGTCTCCCTGGTTAGGATTTACAACCTCATGCCAGTGTATCAGTTGACCTGTGAATTGTTTCCTGAGAGATCCACCTTAAAGAGGAGGGTGAGGACAAGTCTTTTTGACACAACTGTTTCCAATAGGACCAAGTGACAACTTGTGTGTAAACCTCCCTCCAAAGACTCCAGTGAACAGGTTTGAGCTGTCGCCCTGGGGGCCCAGGCCTTGAAACTTTAAAATTGGAAGAAACTTTAAATTGTCTTGTCATCTTGTCCATTATTATTCTGAAAACCATTCAAAGGGAGATTCCCCAGCAGGCCACAGAACCAACTAGCTGCAGAGCCGAGATAGTTGGGAGAGAGGCCCAAACTGCTCAACCATCCTCTCCCTTCACCTCCCATATCTACATGCCCTTCCCTCAGGAGCATAGCAACCCCTCTGTGCCAGCAGGCACACGTACAGTACAGCCAAACAGACAGCCTTGGCCCAGGATGCGGAGCTAACCCGGTAGTACATGGAGCCCATTTTCTTCTTCGGAAAAATGACCCCTTGCCTCAACTGTGTAAAGCTGATTTGATTGTTGGACTCCACTGTGGCTGCAGCCATTCAGTCCCCTCCCACAGGGGCTTTCTCTCCCAGTGACCCAGGGGTCAGTTCCAAGGCCCAGGCTCGCACAGTCTATCTCAGCCTGTACAGTTTCAACAAAACCTTCCTGCAAATGCCCCCGCCTCTCTGCTCCCTCCCTCACCTCCCTATTGAATGCCCGCCCTTGGGAGTGGCATCTTATCTCTAGTGAACCAGACCTCATAGGCGACCCAATTCTCCAGATTGGCACTAAAAATTCTCATAGAAGCCTTGGAGGTTTAAAGATTAGGAATTGCAAGCAAGAATACCTGGAGGCCTACTTAGCAGAGGCCTAGTGTTGTCAGTCACCTTGTATTGTACTGTGAGGGACATTGTGAACAGGGCGCTGTGGTGCCTTACAATGCAGGGGCCTCTTTGAAGAATGGGGTGGACCCAGGAAAGCTTCACAGAGAAGACATTTGAGCTGGGCCTTGAATAATAAGGTAGAGGCACAGCAAGGATCTTCTAAATCCAGCTCCTTGCCCCTAACACTGAACTGACCCCAGAGAGCAAAGCAGGTATTAGAAGAATCACATCAAGAACCAGGAAGGACCTGGAAGCCCCCTCATTTTCCACTTCCCCCCAGGCTGGGATGTCTTTCCTGACTGACGTGATTTTATGCCCAAGCTGATAGCATATGGTTACCTGTCCATTGACGATAGACAGATTTAAAGCCCAAATACCACTTAAGTTATTATGTATTTTGGGCTTACTTATTTTTTTTTTAGTTTGTAGAATAAAATTTTACAGAACCCGTGCCGTGGAAAATGTGTAAGAAATGAATGTAAGCTTGATGAATCCTATTGACATTCTATTATCCTTTGTGCCCTTGGGTGATGATGAAAAATGATATAACCACCCTGTAGTTATAAGTTGTTTAGTTGGAGATAACAAGCTTGTGGTTTTAGAAGTTCATGTGATATTAAAATTGACAACTCTTTTTTTCTTTTTTTCTTTTTTTTTTGACTTAAACTATTTTCTCACAGTCCTGGAGGCTGGAAGTCCTAGATCAGGGCGCCAGCGTTGCTGGGCTCTGGGGAGAGCTGTCGTTCTGACAGCTGCCTTCTCATTGTGTGCTTTTTTCCTGGGTGTGTGGTGGTGGGGAGAGAAGAGATGGTGATGGAGAGAGAGAAGGAAAGAGAATATCTCTTCTTGTAAGACCAGCAATCCTATCAGGACTTCACCCTTCTGACTTAATTTCTTTCTCACGTCCTAAAAACCCTTCTCCAAATACAGTCACATTGGACATTAGGGCTCTGAAACTTACTTGATCTTTGAGGAAAGAACATTCATATGGAATCAGGACTTCTGGTCCTGGCTCAGTTCCTAGCACAAAGACTCTCACACCTAACTACCATCCACTTTTCTCTCATCTGTGGAAAGGAAACCATTGCCTAGGCAGGGGGAAAATGGACTAGAGATGGTTTCTAAGGACTCCTCTAGCTCTGCCATTTCTGTGACAAAATTCAAGGGATTCCTTTATTGAACTATGGTCCAGAACAGCCTTTCTCTGCCTGTCAACTATGTGTATCATTTGCTTCTAAAACCCTGAATCCTTGCTTCCTCAGGAACTCTGAGCTTTGACTCAAAAATCTCAACTGCTAATGATCATTGTCCTACTTTAGCTGTTGCTGAGAAGGAACCAGCAGGTCTGTGGGAAGTGAGAAAAAGGAGCTGGGTCTGGGGCAAAGACTCACCCCAGGGACAATGGATCAATACTTTAGTTCAGATAAGAAAATGAGACCTGAGCCAACTGCAAATGGAGCTTGCTCATGGGATTAGTGGGGAGCTGTGGAAGGAGGTGACTCGATCCCCTGCCAGCCCCCATGTAGAGGAGGCATTTTCTGGCTCCCTCAAGCCTCTGCCCAGAAGACTTCTCAGAGAGGTGAGGCGCCTTCTGCTGTTAACAGAGGCCCCTTCCATCTAAGTTCCCATGTATGCTTTTCCACTGGTGGTAGTATCTCCAGTCTGAAGGCAGCTGGGCTCGAAATCACCAGGGCTTCTTTTTGGCCCATGGTTTATATGACTTTCTGTTGAGCAAATAAATAAGACACTTGTCCCTGCCCCAAGGGACAAAGGCGATTCATTCACAGCAACTGCTGTCCAGCTGACAGATGTGCTGGCCTCATTGCCATTCAGCCAGGCGTGCTGCTGACTCCAGAGGTGAAAGGCTCTGTCACTCATTTGCACCCCCCAGCTGGCTAGTTGCTATCCAGGATCATCCAAGAATTTTGACATTTGTCTTTCCTCCCCTACGCCTGCCTCCACAGCAGTCAGTGGCTGTTAGGACAGAGCTGTTCCCACGGTGGCCTTTGATCAAGTCAGTTGGGAGAATAAAAAAGATGGGCCATCTGGTCATTGTTGCCTGGCCACAGCTGCTCAAGTCCTACAGCTGCAGAACTGTGCCTTTGCAAACACAAGACCTCGAGGAGCCCATTCGTGCACGTCCACCCAAGAGAGCAGCAATAGATCCCTTCAGAGGAATTTAACGTCTATAAAAGCAAGTGCCACCTTTCAGTTTTATCATAACCTTGGAGGCTCAATAATCTTCCATTCACTTCTAGTTTATGATCTAATTGGGGGAGGGGGGGAGAGGAGACCTTCACTAATAAGCGTCTCCAGTATTTAGAGTTTAGGGGACTGTCAACCCCAAATGGTTGTTGAGCCCTGAGGAAGGAAAGTTAACTTCCAACAGGACAGTCATGGAAGGTTCTATGGAGGAGGTGAAATTTGAGCTGGGCTCATGGGAAAAGTGGGAATCTGCTGGGCAGGTACGGCGATGGGAAGGCATTCATTTATGCAGCTGCAGATGTGTGAAGGCAGGAGGACAGAGCCGAGAGCAGCAGGGAGTGTGGAGAAGCAGTGCATGAGGCAAGACTGACCAAACCACGTAAGTAGGCTCCTCCTGTTTGTCAGTCCACCTGGGAGTCCTGAGCCAACAGAAGTTCTGAGCCCAGTTTGTGTAGAAATCTTTAGACCCTTTTCTTCAGAGAAACCCATAGAGGGTCTTACAGAGACAGTGACCCCTAAGGAGTCCTTAAAAGGCAGGTCCATGATCTCAATGGAACCAGCTCCCTGTCTAGGCTGCTTAGGTGTCTTCCAACATTTTTCTACATAAATTACTGAGTGCTCTGTGCTTGCACCCCAAATAACAACTAAGAAGAGTTGCAAACAGCCTGTTTTCATTAAGAGCTAAACCTCTAGAAAATCGCTTTGGTGCATTTCGGCTATTTTCATTCTCAGGCAGATGGTCAGATGCAGTGGAGATTTGAGTCGCTCAAGAGTGCATTGGATGAACTTGATCCCTGGCTCCCCTGCCAATAGACAGGGAAGTATGTAAGGAATAAGATTTTTTGAAAAGGACCTTTTCCCATCACAGCTGTCATGTCTGGAGCCCGAAACCTCCCGCTGTTCCTAAGGCCTGCAGCCTACAGGGCAGCACCGCCAGCTCCTGCTCCAGCCCTGCCCTGGGAACCAGCTCCTGCTGCTTTTCTCTCCTACAGACATTTGCTGCCTTTCCAAGTCCCACGTGTCTTCTGTGCCCTTTTAGTGTATCAAATGATCGGGGAACTCCAATTAGTACAACTAACTTTTTTATTTAAGACCCAAACACTTTCCTTAACAAAATCAGCCTCCTCCCCCAGAAACAGAAAACAATAGTAGGAGACAAACTGAATTGGACACCCATTTGAAGGCCAAAAGTGTGATAGGGTATAAAATAGCAGGAAGGTAAAAGAAGCAAAGAGAAGTGAACAGAAAGCTAAGAAACGAGACCACCTTCGCAGGGAAGACTGTGCAGCCAGATCAGAGTGTGGAGCTGGCAGAAGAAAAATCAGATCCAAAGAGGCCTGCCACATCGAAGGTCAAGAGGTATTTTGCTTGGGTTTGGGGGAAAGCTGGACTTTTGGGGCAACCAACAGGAGGCAGGCAGAAGCTGGAAAGTTTGGGGCTGAAAGAATAGATAGAAAAATCCCCAAAGCAGTTTGTCACGCTGGACTTGTCTGTGTTTCCCCTGGTCATGCGCCTCCCCACCCCCGCTACCCTGAGACTGTTTGCTCGTCTGTGGCAGTTCGCACTCCGCACGGGGAGGACGCAGCATAAAACTGACAGGGCACGAAGCCGCCTGTCCAAGTTAGGTCAGTTTAGCCTTTGCCCTCCTAAGTTGTTGAGAAGAAGCTTTCACCTCATTCTCAATGTAGGTATGTAACAGGCCAAGCCGAGAATGTCCCCACCTCCTTTGAGGGGGTCTTAGGATCAGGGGCCTTAGGCAGGGTCCTGGCCCTTCCCTGGCTGACCCCAAACTACATCTGCCTGCCTTTTCTTATCTGGCCATCCAAGACATGGTTGCTCTCGGGTGGAGTCTTTTGCCCTTCATCCTTTGACTGACTACACCTGATTGATCTGCCAGCTTCTTTTCCATAAAATGTCACTGGGTTGTTTTGTCTTTCCAAGGCTGCGGTTCCTGCTGGCTAAATTCAGCCCATTGGGAATGATGAGAATCCTGGGGAAATACTGATTATGTTCAGACTTAAAAATTCAAAGGGTCTGATGCCACCCAAGATTACAGAAAAAATTGAAAGTCTTGTACAAGCATTTTAAAAAGTAACATTTGGGTGATGATTTCCCCATCAAAACGTCTCACAGCATTCGCTTCTGTAAACTCCCCAAACAGGACTACAATTCTAAAACGACAACAAAGGGAAGGAAAGGAACTAGCTTCAATGTTTTAAAGTATAGCATTTTTTAAAAATAATTTTCCTCTTTTATCTTTATATTACCATCTAGTTACTCCTACTTCACTTTTTTTTTTTTTTGGTCCTCGTCAAGCAACTCCTTACCATCTTCTCCCTCCCCAGTGTCAGCTCCAGGCCTCCTCTTTTTCGCTTCTGCCTACTGACTCTTCAAAACATGAACCCAGACTGTTTTTGCTGGCAGGCGTGACCTAAACGTTGACCTGACACATCGCAAATTCAGGCGTTGACCTGACATACTGAACAGTCCTGAGCATATTCACTCTTTGGAGTTCCATCTCCCATTCTACTATAAAGTCTTGTTGCTGCATGGATGAACTCATTGATGAAGAGACCTTGACTAGACCAAAAGTTGGCCATTGGCTCCCCCTGGGAATCACAGACTCATAGAAAAGAGGGTTGAGGGTCTGCCTAAGCACCATCAGCAAGTACTTGTCATTCAAACCCAGTTCTCAACTTTTAGTCGTTACTTCTTATAAACAATGGCCTGCTTTTATTTGGGACAGCACTGGGTCGAATTTTAAAGTAATCCTCTTACTACAGAATATATCCAGAATCTCCTTGGCCTCTACTTCAGCTTTCTCCATCTTGCCCACCCCACGCCCCATGCCCTCCGACCCCCCAAGATCACAGTGTCCATCACTATAACTAGCACCACCTCCAGTCTCTGCCTGTGGGAAGTTCACTGTCTTCTTCTGAGGTCCAGCTCAAATGCAACCTCCTCTGGCAGGCCTTCTTGATGCTCAGCCTGCATCTTTTCTTTTCTGAAGCCCCATGGCCCTTAGAATTGCCTTTGCTATGGTACTTGGCACTTTCTACCACTAGACAATAAACTCCTCGAGGGCAGGATCCATGTCTGATTCATGTTGGGCCCCTGAAGGGTTGAGCCTGATAGGCCCTCTTGGAGGCATGTGGGAATGGCTGAGAAAGTTGACAAGGCACAGCATGCTCTGCTGGGAGCAACTATGACTGAGAGTCTACCTCTTTCTGAGGTTGGTCATTCCCCATGTCTTTTCTTCTTAGTACCAACCCATTCGCAGGACCTTGCTCTTTCACTGTCCTCAGCCAACTGTCACTATGGTTCAGAATCCTCTGGGAAAGCTTCAGCTGTTAACAGCTTAGAATGTTGCTGCTCCCAGAAGTCTTTGCACCGGAAAGTGGAGGTGGGGTGAGGTGAGGTGGGGTGGGTGGGGAGGGTGGAAGGAGCTGAGCGAATCTTCACTCACCAACGACATGTACAATTAGAGGGTTTAGGCGGGACAGGCTGGACCAGGAAGGAATTTGCGGGGGGGAGGGGGATGAGGGGTTTCATGAAGACTGTTTCCTGGTACCTCTTCAATCAGAGGTGACTTTACTCAGAGTGACTGTCCTTTTCTTTCTGCCTGTGCCCTTTTTAAAAAGAAACATGTACTGTCATACAGTAGCTCTTAACTAAGTACTAATTATTATTGCTGTCATTATCAGTAAGTTAAAAACAGAAGCAGCAAAGGTTGTATAAACACATATAACCCACCCTGAACACCTAAGTCCCTGGAGGTGCTGAGTAGGGAGATGTTAATGAGTTTGTTTGGTAGAGGTGCCGAAAGGAAGGGTCGATGTGGGTTTTGCAGCATCTGCCTCCCTCATGGTGGAAACTGAGCAAAGACAAGGAAGTGAAAGGCAGCAAGATGGGTGTGCGCAGGGGATGGCCAGAGACCCTGGCCTGCTTAGATGACAAGAGGCAGTGGGAGGGGTGGAAGGAGCCAAATTGAGGGGAAACAGGATGATGAATTCAGTTTTGAGTTGCAATTGCCTGTGGTGGAAGGTCAAGAAGAGGAGCTGTCCCCCAGGTGCAGGCTGAGCGTGGAGGTGGGGCTTAGGGTCCCGAGAGTGAGTGGAGCTGGCAAAGCAGCAGTGTGAAGAAGGGTGAGGAGCATTCAAGTGAAAGAGGAAGCAACGATGGTAGTGTAGGTGCATTCATCTCATCTCAGCTCATTAATTATGATAGAAAAATCGAGAAAATATAAGGTCAAGGAGAAAAATGTAGACTGGGACAGGTCATTAGAAACCTGAAGTGTGCTCCAAAGGGACTTTATTTAAAATAAATGTTGAGATTGTATTTACTTAGTGATTTCAGAAATGATCATTTTTTATTTATTATAGTGGGAGCTTTATTACATTGAGAGCCTGAGAAATGTTGAGTTGAATTCCCACTTGGCTCTCCTTGTTGCTGGAATTATACCTTGTCTTGTGAGAACTGTAGGTTTCTCCCTGTTTGTCTGCTTTTAGCTGCTAGCCAGGCATAGATCATTCCAAGTAAAATCCTCTTTACTTTATATCATATCACAGTCATACTTTAGGAGAAAGTGTATTTCAATTCCATCCAACTTCACTAAACTAACATTTGCTGCTAAGTTTTAAAGGGGGACAACAATAATTTCTAGGGATAGAACTCTGTGCCTATCCCTAGATAGCATGTTAACATGTTAGCATGGTTTTCAGTTGGTGGTGAGATTATGGGGATATTTATTTTCTCTATATTTTCTGCATTTTCCAGATATTACTTCTTTTTTTTTTAAGATTTATTTATTTATGCATAAAAGAACTGGGGTGCAGGCCAGAGGTGCAGGGAGGGGAGGTGAGAGGATTCACCAGAGACAGAGCGGGGAACAGAGCAGGCAGACTGACTGAAATACACTGCTGAGGGGAGCAGCGGGTGAGACAGGAGAGGTCTGCTGCACCGTGTGGGTAGCTCCCTGGCCGGCCAGAGATAGAACTTGTGCTGCAGTGGCTGCAGATAGCTTCACAGGTTAACTGTGCTAAACCCCTTGCACCACTGGGGAGGCCCCCAGATATTACTTCTATAGTTGATTATTTTGGGTTGGTTGGTTTTCTTGAAGAAAGAAAACTAGATTGAAAAGGATTGGAGTTACCATTCTCGGAAAGTCTTCTACAAGAACCCCCATAGACACAGAATTCCCAGTGACATGCCAGACCTCTGTGTCTCTCCAAGAGAAAATCTGCAGGAAAATATTCCAAGTTTTTATTTTTATTTTTGAAAAGATACATGAGCAGAAACTCTACAAGGTGAGCTTTAGGATTGCATTTCAAAGTATGTATTTTACTACTCCCTCGGTGGCTGCTTTTCTTCCTTTTGGTGTAGGCCGTCACCCATGAGTGAGTATCAACTCTACAGTGTGTTATAAAGGTGTGATTTGGGGAGATTGTCAGGAATAGGTCTGTCAGGGCCTGGCCTATGTCATATGACGAGAGTTATGCCACAAGTAGAGGAGAACAGAGAAGTAGTCATATGGTAAGGATGATCCCAAAACCAAATTCAGACAATTCAGACTTGAACTTGATACATGAAGTACAGTGCGCTTCTCCCTTTGTTGTAGAGCAACCCAGTTCCTCTTTTCATGCCTCCGTGTGCTGGGCCAGCCGATGACTCCCCTTTCATCCCCACATTCTCTCCCATTCATTGATCCATCCTCTACTGAGCACCTCTGCTGCCTTTCAATGTGCCTTGGTGCTGAGATGACAGAAATGGACTCAACAGGGTTCTGCCCTGAAGAGACTTAGGAGCCAAGATGGGCAACAGCTGGGCCAAGGTCACAGTCCAGCAGATGACTGCTGGCACAGAGGTGATGGGGCACCAAGAAGTCCTAATTCTGCTTAGGGGAAGGGAGTGGGAGAGAATATGGGGCAATACGTTTGCATTGATTCACCAGGTATACTAGGAGGGGGCCATAAGAGCTGGGGTGAGGAGCCAGAGAGAAGGCCAGGAGGCCACATGGAAAGAAGGGCTCAGGAATGATGGAATTATCTGTGATCTCCTCTGTCAAAAACACTAACTGGAATTCTGAGTACCACCAACCTAGGATATGGGAGGGATAGACCTGGTAGACAAAATTCTAAGATTCCAGCCCCTCCCCCCATACACACACCTGCATAATCCCATCTCCTTGAGAATAGGACTTACACATCTGATGCCATTTCAGATCTGCGATTATATTACTTTATCTGGCAAGAGATTTTGTAGATATAATCAGAGTTTCTCATCAGTTGACTCTGAATGAATTAAAAGTGTGCATATCATGAGTGGGTCTGATGTAATCATAGGAGACCTTTAAAAGGTCCAGGCCTCCCCAGAAGTCAGACTGATCCTGAGCAGCAGAGCTGCCATCCACTGGGCCTTGAAGAAGCGGCATGTTGTGGAGAGGTCCATGTGACAGCCAATAGCTGGTGGCCTCTAGGAGCTGGAACTGAATTCTGTCAACAAGCAGTGAGTTTGGAAGAGAATTCCCAGCTTCAGAGGAGATTGCAGCCCTAACCAACACCTGAGTAGCCAACCCATAGCAGATTCCAGACCTGTGTGAGAGAATAAATTTATGTTGTGCTTAGCTATGGAACATGTGGTGATCTGTTATATAGTAATATAAAATAAATACAGTGGGGAGCAACTGCAATAAATGTTGAGGACAGAAGAGAAGGTAAAGATCTCGAGCCCTATGTGCTGCTGGGAAGCATGGAAGTGTTCTGGACACTTTCAGTGAGAGGTCCTGATGGACACAGTCAATCAAAGAAACCCTGCCCGCCTCCTGAGGGTCATCCCAGCTTCACTTCTCAAGAGGAATACTCAGGTGAGCGATGCTGAGTATTAATATCTGAATTGTGGCTTGTGCTGCCCCACAGCAGGTTGGTAGTGAGAACAGAATTTAGACAGGAGTGAAATTTATATCCCAGGAAGGCATCCACCATGTTTTTTAGTCAAAGGCAAAAATACTCCCTTTTGTCTCATGAAATTTGGCAAGTTTCTGTCCTGAAGTTTGGTGTTTCCTAGAAATTTCTTTCATGTTACTTGCTACCAAAGGCACAAAAACAAGCTGTCCCACTTTGTGGGTCATTCTCAATTTTTTCAGGATATTGAGAAAATAAAAAAGCAGTCAGTTTATTTTTCTCTCAGAAGAGTCACCATTTGATTTTTCTTTCTTCTTAAAAAAATATTTTTGGGTCACCCTAGTTTCTTTTGAACTGGTGAATCATTTAATGTTTGAATCATTTTAAAAGGTTCAGAGGGACTATTTTCACATTGGAAATAACAAGAGGTTATATAAGATGCAGAGTAAGGACAGAGAGCTTTAAAAAGAAACCCTCCATCTCTTTTTTTTTTTTTTTAAACCATCTCAAGGGTCGTAAACCATCACTGAAAGTAATAAAACACTTTTAATGACAAAGTTATCTTTATATGAAATTTCAAAGCTCTAATTGTGCAATAAAATATTAAGTGCCCATTTTGTGAGAAAAGTATGGCACAGTGCTGCTGTTGCATCCAAATATGAAAAAAAAAAACATGGACTTATAAAGACAATTAGCAATATAGGGTGATTATACCAGGCATGAGGAGTCCAGCTAAAGGTATAATGGCAGAGGAGGAAACTTTCTAGAGGCCAGGTGAGCCCGTCATTGAAGGAAAGGTGATTTCTCATCAGTGACAAGGACTGAGACATGGGACAGGGAAAATTTGGGAAGGTTGGAGGAGTTCAGACATATTTGTGTAGCAAAAAGTAAACCAGTTGGTTTGGAGGTGGGCTTCACAGCAGGAAATAGGGAAGGTGTTTGCCAAAGTAAGCAGTGGTGGAAGGTTTTGATTACTAATTCTGTGTGTTTTGTATGCAGTAAAAAGCCCCTGGGGTCTTTTGAATCCAACAAAAGTGTTACATGAAGAGCCATGCATTGTTGTGTTTGTTTGGATTGATAGCAGGAAGCAAGAGTGATAAGGACCAGCCAGGGCATTGGTGGGGAGGGAAAGGGAGAAGATGCAAAAAAATATCAAAAGAGCATAGTAGATCTCTAGGGAATCTACGGACGTCACAGGCCTTCAACAGTTTTGGCCCAGACCCTGAGTATCTGGTGGGGACAAGTGGTCTCAGGCAATCTTTCTTTTGGCAGAGAAATATAATCATATGTAGGCTTATGCTGACATTTTTACAGAATGAGCTCATGACTAATTGAGAACTTCAGATATTAAAAATTAGTCACATCTGGAACAAAGAGTTGTAATGGTGTGAAAAGTCTGCTTGCTCCAGGGCAAGTATGAGCCAACTTTTAAAGATGCTTTAAAAGTTGCAAATTCATGCCAAGAAATAAGAAATGCTGCTGGAACCCTAAATTTCCATAGGCTTGCATATATCTCCTTTTTATGGTCCTGCTAAACTATCCATTTTGGATTGTCTCAGTGTCCCCTTCATGGAAATAATACACCTCTCCCTGAGAAATGTGTGTGATTAACCCTAACGTTGGTCTGGATTTCACTTCTGCCATTTTCACAATATTCTTGCCATTACTCTTCACTGACTGTGGAACTGAGCTCTCGTACTCCACCTCATACCTTGGAATGAAGGAGGTGGAGACACTAGGTTACGCGCAAAAGATCTGTTGAGCACCTACTGTGTACCAGGACCTCTACTAGAAATGAATGAATGTAATTAGCATGGCACCTGGTGCTCAGGGCTCAACCCATGGTCATTTCCTTTCACCCTGTTATTCACTTAGAAAGAGTGTATGAGATAGTGAAAGTAGAGGAGCAGAAAGGGGAGGTGGGAGACACAAGGAGAAGCCCTCTCTGATCTGGAATGCAACCTGCAGGCTTCTTGACTCTCCAGGGGAAGCAGAGAAGCTGCTCCTCATTGACCTCTTAGGAAGGAGGGAAGCCTTCCACCTCAATGCTCCAGCTCTCTGTGAGGCTGGGGATGGAGCAGGAAGGACTGGGAGGGATGACTTTGCTATTGTGCCACTTCTGATCCCCACCCAGTGGCCAGTCCTCCATACCCAGCTAAGCTTCCTAGTGATAGCGAAATGTTCTGGAAAATGAGCCCTCTCTTACCTTACTTTTTCTTCCTTTGTCTCATGGTCAGTTTGAATTTTTTATTTTTTAGAGAGAAGGATAAGCACCTGCTTGAATTTATTCCCAGGAGTTCTAGGTCTGGAGAACCCAAGATCTAGCTTTTTAATGGGCTTCTCTGTGATCCCCAGGATCCCATTGTCAAGTTAACGGTCTTTTCCCCAAACCCTTCCTCGGTGTGACACACTCACCACAGAGAAGACTGCTGTGGCTCCCATGTTGTGTGAAGGGAACATAATCAGACCCAAAGTTTTAGAGGTTGGTGCAATGGACAGAGCAGAACCTGCACTCAGGAGACTGGGCTGTGGTTTGTTTTGCTTGTTAAATTTTGTTTTATTTTATATATTTTATTTTATATATTTCTTACATCATTTTTCATTTTTGCACAATGTATGCATTTTCATCTTGGTCATATTCCCCATACAATTGTATCCCCCTTACTTTGACCCCAATCCCTCTTCTCTCCACCCCGCCCCCCCACCATAGTGTGTCTCTGGTTTATAGTTGCTTGCTGATTTTGATTTTTTCTTTATTATAGTTATTCTTTTTCCTGGACCCTTATTTAGGTTTTCTAAATTCCTGTATGAGTGAGACCATCTGGTATTTTTCTTTTTCTTTCTGGCTTATTTCGCTGAGCATGATCCCTTCTAGCTCCATCCATGTTGCTGCAAATTGCATGTGTTTATCTTTTTTGAATGCTGAGTAATATTCCATGGTGTATATGTGCCACATCTTCTTGATCCAGTCATCTATTTTTGGGCATTTGGTTGTTTCCAAAGCTTAGCTATTGTAAATAGTGCTGCTATAAACATAGGGGTGCAGGAGCCCTTTGGAATTAATGTTTCTGTGTCATTTTGTTAGGGGGAAAAGGATGTCCCAAAGCTAATTTCATATAGGCTTTGTGGACTCCACCCCCACCCCAGGTCAAAGCCAAAGAACCTGGGAACCCCAAATTCCATCACCACCAAAGGGAAGGTGGCTGGGACCTGAGGGTGGGGTTAAGCAGCCAGGTGGATATAAAAGGCAGACACGTGGGTTTTGGGGGATCCCCATTTTGGCTCTACGCCAGCTCGCAGCGTCCGGCCAGCTCTGAGAGTGACTTTGGGTTTCCAGGTCGTCGGATCGGGTAGGACGCATTAAAGACTTTATTTCCCTATTTTCTCCCTGAGTTGTACATTTTCCTTATTTCCTTTTCTCTTGTAAATAAACCTTTTATTAACCTTTTGTGTGTGCCTGTAGTGGAGTATTCATAAGTCCCTTTAAAGCACGCGGGTGAGGACCCACAGCCAGGAACCCGTTTAATATCGGGGTTGCTCTATAACAATTTGGGTAAATATCTACTAGTGGAATTGCTGGATCATATGGAAGCTCCATCTTTAGCAGTTTGAGGAATCTCCATACAGCTTTCCATAGTGGTTGGACCAGTTTGCACTCCCACCAACAGTGCAGGAGAGTTCCTTTTTCTCCACATCCTCGCCAACATTTGTTGTTGCTAGTTTATTTAATATGTGCCATTCTCACTGGTGTGAGATGGTATCTCATGGTAGTTTTGATTTACATTCCCCTGATTATAAGTGATGTTGAACATTTTTTCATATACCTCTTGGCTATTTGCATTTCCTCTTTGGAGAAGTTTCTTTTTAGCTCTTATGCCCATTTTTTGACTGGATTATTTTCTTTGTTTTTGTTGAGCCTCATCAGCTCTTTGTAGATATTTGTGATCAGTCCTTTATCACTAGTGTTGTGTGCAAAAATGTTCTCCCAATCGGTGGGGTTTCTCTTTGTTTTGGTTATTGTCTCTTTTGCTGTACAGAAGCTCTTTAATTTGATGTAGTCCCAGCTGTTTATCTTTGCCTTCACTATCACTGCTTTGGGTGATGTGTCTGTAAAGATGTCTTTGAGGTGCATGTCTTTAAGTGTTTCGCCTATATTTCCTTCCATGTATTTTATGGTTTCAGGTCTTATGTCTAGTTCTTTAATCCATTTTGAGTTAGTTTTTGTGCATGGTGTGAGGTAGTAGTCAAGTTTCATTTTTTTGCATGTAGGCGACCCAGTTTTCCCAGCACCATTTATTGAACAATGTAATGTATCCATAAGATACACTTTTGTAGGGGGCCTCCCCGGTGGCACATCGGTTGAGCGCTGGGTTGCGAGGCTACCCGCAGCCTCTGCAGTGCCGGTTCGATCCCCGGCCGCTGGGTAAGTGTCCCACATGACGCGCAGACCTCTCCTGCCACCTGCTGCTCCCCTCACCAGTGTACTTCCATCAGTCTACCTGCTCTGCTCCCCTCTCTGGCTGTGGTGAATTCTCTCACTCTCCCGCACCAGTGCTTGTGTGAAAAAAAAAAAAAAAGATACACTTTTGTAACTAGAGCACCTGGGAAAGTGGCTCCTAGGAGATACAGAATTTGAGGGAAATCCTGCAGAGGAAAGAGTGGGTGAAGGGAATTCCATATATGGACCAACACAAGTCCTAGGCTTACTTCCAAGTTGCACATGTATGGAGCACACCCAAACACGCAGCAAAGCCTTTGAAAACTGAGCTGACAATGGAATTACTAATCTATAGAAGTGTAGTGTGATCTTGAAGTCTGAATTTAACTGGTTTGGTTGGTCGACAAAACAAACAAAACAATCAGCATGCTCTGATTTTAACAGAACCCAGAGTCTCAAAACTTATTATACAAAATGTCCAGGATACAATTTAAAATTGCCCAACATGATAAGAAACAGGAAATG